ATACTACACTTCATGCGCAGACAACTGGGTGTCCTGATCCCGGAACTCTTTTTGATGCTGTACAAGACCTACATATGACCTCACTTAGAGGTCCACAACGTCATTGCACCACTATATCCAGAAAGAGGTGTGGGCCTCCTAGAGAAATTCCAAAGGAGAGCTACAAAGGGTGTCGTGGGAATGAGGTGAAACCGTATGAGGACAGGCTGAAAGATCTGGGACTCTACTTTCCGAGCTACCGTAGATACATGGTGACTTGATAACGGCTTACAAAATACTAAGTAACCCAGGTCATCCGAACAATGGAATCCTACCGAACGACCACTGTGACGATCCTCGCGGTAACCCAAGGAGAATAGCCCACCAAAGGGCGGTAACCCGCGTGTATTCACACTTCTCTCTTCAAGTTTGCGGCCACTGGAACGCATTGCTCGCCGAGACTGCCGCCGCTCTGTCTGTTGACAGCTTCGAGAAAAGGTTGGACAGTTGCGCAGTGACGCAAGGTTTGCGCTCATCCAGCTGGGATACAGACAAGGTTGATACCACCTAATAACTCAGTGCGGCCAACCTATTATGGAATATTTTGCAACACCACTATCACCGCCAAATTGGCTCAGTCTTATATTTTCCTATGGACGTCCCCTCCAGTTACCGTCTCCTACTAATAGAACTACTGTCTCTTTTCCCGTAAGCCCTCTCATAATGTTATTCTCCCCTTCTCTTACTACCAACTTTATGTCCTCACGCTTTGATAAAAGCCCCCCCGTCACCCCCTCTGCAATGAATCTACCGATGTTTCTTCTTTCTTTTCGTTTCCGTTTTCCCAATCGTTGTTTCGACTGTGTATTTTTCTTCGCACTCTCTCTCCCTTGATTTCTCTGGACATATTCTCCATCTCCTTTTTTACAACCAGTTTGACCAGTTGTCTGCTGGTACGACACTTGAGCAAACCATCTGCACCAGTCCTTGGAAAAAAACAACACCCACTCCCTACGAATTTAACCAACACCCAACCGCCCGTTGGGCTAACCAGAGCTACAGTAGTAGAGTGGGTAGACCTACTGCATCGCGATTCACCAAAGACCTGGAACCGTTCTGCAAGACCTGGAAGCGAGGGCGAGGAAATGAGTTGGTTCACACTAGCTCGTAATAAGATATTGGATATTGGAAGTGACAACCACTGGACAAGCAGTAGGTTGTTCCTGACTAGCTTTTGTTCACCAGTAAGATAGCTGTGGTGAAAAAGAGTGAACTTTGCTAAGAAAAAGTAGACAAAAAATTATTATTCTACTTTTCTGGTTTGCAATCATAAACTAGTAGAGTAACCTCACCGAAGATAAACGCAAGAGAGTCTCTATGGTGCTACTTCACTCTCCACCGTGCCAAATACCTGCTGGGAGTCATACATCGGTCCCCCACCAGCTCCCCTACACATAAGGAAATGGTCATCAAGGCTATCTTAACGACTTCCTCTGCAAATTACGATTCCGTAGTCATTGCCGGCGACTTCAACACCCCGTCCATCCTCTTCGAGACGGAAGGGAGACGCATCAGATCCTTCAATCAGAAGCTGAAGGATGCAATTAAGACTGCTGGCCTCTCAGAGAAAGTGGGTGATGCTACACGCTGGGGACCTAACGGAAACGCATCGCGCCTTGACTACGTTCTGACGAACGATGAACTTCTCATTGAGGATGTTTGCATCCAACCTCCCCTTGGCCTCAGTGACCACGCTGTAATCACCTTCTCCATGATAACTAGGGAGGCTCTGCAACTGGAGACGTCCAACACCTTCCCTTGCTACAGCAAGGCCAACTATGAGACCATGAGGGACTACCTCATGAATGCATCATGGCCAGTGGACTGGACTCATCTCACAATAGATGAACACTGGTTGGAGGTGAAGAAAATAATCACTGGGGCCATCAGTCACAGTGTACCAGAAGTAACACACAGACAATCAATGAGAACCTCATGGTTAAAGCGTGGGACAGAGAGGCTTATCCGGAGCAAGAAGCAGGCTTGGTTCAAGTGGCGTACATCACGCAGGGAGTCTGACTTCTTGAACTACAAAAGGATTCGCAACCTCTGTAACATTAGAGTGCGTAACGACAGATTTTCCTACCAAACAAACTTGGCAGCGAGGTTACAAAGCAACCCCAAAAACCTGTACCGCTTCATGTCAAGAAGAAAGTCGACCAGTAAGGGAGTGAATCTTGTCACAGGCCATGACGGGAGTGTACTAAGCAGTCTAGAGATTGCCGAGCTTTTGAGCTCACACTTCCAAGCCCAACTCAGCACTGACACAAGATCCACACCGACTCGCTACGACACCGACCAGGTCGCAAATAACGAATACCTCTGTCACGTCTCTATTACAGAGAAAAAGGTGTTCGAGAAGCTATCTAGGCTACGTCCGGGCAAGTCCCCTGGCTGCGATAACCTGAAACCAGTGGTTCTGAAAAACTGCGCCGAGGTGCTTACCAAACCACTTCGCAACCTCTTTGAGCACTCAATAGACTCGTGCAAACTCCCTAAAGAATGGAAGAGCGCCATCTTGTCACCCATCTTCAAGGGAGGAGACAGAAAAAGCCCTGGCAGCTACAGGCCAATTGCCCTACTCCCTATTGTGTCGAAAGTGTTGGAAAGCCTGGTAGCTGACACCATCTGGGAATTCCTCAATAGGGAAAACACTGTCCATACTGCTCAGCACGGCTTTCGTAGTGGTCGCTCATGTGCCACCAACTTACTAACCGCCTGGGACGACTGGACACAAAGCTGGGATAATAGAAAACCTGTACATGTTGTATTTCTCGACCTAGCCAAAGCATTTGACAGTGTCCCACCCACAGTACTGCTTCACAAGATCATGTCAGCTGGTATAAGTGGACCCCTACTCTCTTGGTTCAAGGAGTACCTGGAAGGGAGGCAGTTCTGCACTAAAGTGAACAGAATAAGGTCGGAGTGGAGACCCTCGACGTCAGGAGTATCCCAAGGAGCAATCCTAGGACCGCTTCTGTTCCTCCTGTTTGTCAACGATCTGCCAGACAAAATATCCTCACCCATCCTCCTCTTCGCTGACGACATAAAAATTTGGAGGGTGGTAAACGAAGAAGCTGATTGTACAGCACTACAAAAGGACTTGCAGCAACTCGAGCTCTGGTCGTCGGAAAATGGCCTGAGCTTCAACCTGGAAAAGTGCAAAGTAATGCACATCAGTAAAAATGAGGCAAGTACGACCGACTTCCAGTACATGTTGAGCAACCGTGCTATCACCAGAGTGTCCATGGAGAAAGATTTGGGGCTCAACTTCTCCGACACCTTGGACACCAGCTCCAACTACAAAGGTATGACAACCAGAGCGAACGCCATTCTACACTTTCTGCGTAGACAGCTTGGCGCCCTCACTCCCGAACTCTTCCTCACCATTTTCAAATCCTACGTGCGGCCGCACCTAGAGGTCTTCAATACGGTGGCTCCTCCAACACTCAAGAGAGACTCTAATCTCCTTGAAAGAATACAAAGAACTGCAACAAAATCAGTTGTGGGGCTAAGGGGAAAGACGTATCCTGAAAGACTTAAACACCTCAACCTATTTACCTTGGGTTATCGCAGGAAAAGGGGTGACCTCATTATGGCATACAAGATCGCCCATCAGGCAGACCATGCAAACAAATCAATTTTGCCTGCAACTGAACGATCTTCACGAGGAAACCCCATTAAGATAGCACACCAGAGAGCCAACACCACACTCAGGTCCAAATTTTTCTCCCTAAGAGTATGTGCTTTATGGAATGCCTTACCGCGACACATCGTTATAGCTCCTTCAGTCGACTCTTTCAAGAGGCGATTAGACAGTTATGTCACCTCGCATGGACTACCACGGACGTACTCAGGTAGTCACCAACCTCACCAGCCCCCAACTCCCTCCTAACTACCACTCACTATCTCTCTCCTTAATACACCCACATTACCTACTAATTCTTCTGTAGGAACCAAACCCACGCGACCATTCGGCAATTCCCAAATACTTTTCTTTCGTTCTCTTTTCACCCCTCCTTTTCTTCTCCTTCCCTTTTCTCTTCCCCATATTATTATTTTTTCCTCTCTTTTTTTCCTTTTCTCTCTTCATTCCTTTACCACTACCTTACTATTCTCTTTCAGGTACCTACACAGACAGGAGTCACGGCAGTTCTCTAAACTTCCCAGCAACCCGTAGCTCCCTAATCACTCTACAAATTACAACCTACTAACCCACAAAACATCCACCTCACCGAAGCTAAAAGCAAGAAAGCAGAGAGGATTTCCTCGTCCACTGCAGGAGTAAACCGAACAACTCGAACCAAGCCCTAAGAACTAGACGCGAGAGATCAAAAACTACCAGTTTTCTACACTCGCACTATCAATATTGGATACTGGAAGAGAGCAGAAGAGATTTCTCTGACTAATGCAGAAGCGAACCAAACAACTTGAACTAAGCCCTAGGAACCAGATGCGAAAGAGATCAAAAACTGTCAATTTCCATGCTCTCATTACCAATATTAGATACTAGGTAAAATGGTTTTGTTTTGAAGCTTCACTTTGTAGGTCATATGCTTGTTCCACATTTCAGTTCGACTGGATCATGTCAATCCTTTTTTCTGAGGTGTATACGCTAGACAGTCATGCAACCTTAGACTTCCCAACAATCGAAATAAATCATGGTAACTAAGATTTGAGTTTCATTTACGAAGTAGATACGTTTGCCAGGACACTGCAAGACGTCAGTTTTCCCGATAAAGCCGGTGGATTTATTTTCTCATCTGATTCAAAAAACCTTCTGACGAATCGTTTTATCTTATGGTAAGATGTTATACAATTTCTATGCTTGAAGGCGTTCACATGCGGATATTCTTGAACTTCAGGAGGTCTCTTTGCATCAAAACCTGGAAAGCAATGTGCTGAAAGTTTCGTTTGGAGGTTCTGCTGTTATTAGTTGTCAAATAAGTGAGACGCCTGAAATGATTGTGTGTTCAGTATGCACTTCCCATGGGGCATCCAAACTTTTGTTCACTCATCCTCGCATGGTAATTAATTTCGATTGAATATATTTGAATGTAGATGTTTGACACTACTCATGTCTCCGCCTTGGGCAACAAGAAGAATGTACGCTACAGTTTTCATCAAATAAAAGGGCTTCAGCCTTCGGCTATTCGTTGTGCTACGGCATTTGTTCATCATCTTTCTGGTGTTTCCGTTTTCGCCTATGGACTATCCACGGGATCCATAATAGTTGCCAGAGTTCCTGTCCTTGGTTCCTCCAGTAAGATTGAGTAATTTATCTTTCAGAACATTTGTATAAATTTATGACGATTGACTCATGATTTTTCAAATGTTTACAACCTACAGTGAACAGTTATTTCTAAGAGTCTGTATAGTGTTACTCCGAAATTCTCATCTTACATCAGATGGCTGGAAACAAGTCTTTTTTCAACACTGAGTTTATTACTTGGTACTGTATCTGATCGGGATTGGCCTGGGCAGCCAGGTAGTACCGCTATCCGCCACAGATGTAGCTTGAGGCCTCCACGGGCGTGCACTTGTTTGCTGAGTTGCAACTAACAAGATACTTTTTCTTAGTCAGTTGGTGTTGACAGTTTTGTATCCTGGAGTGTTATAGATTCCTGTAAAAAAGTCAAAGTAGATATGTTCTTTTTGTTGGTGATGGCATTCCACTTGCCAAAAAATTTCATTTTTGATTTTCAACTGTTTCTTCCTATGTTAACCACTGAAAAAAGTAGCTGGTTGAACCTAATAATGTGCTGTATCACTATAGCTTTTGAAGGCTGATGTAGTTGGGCGCATATCTGGATCTTTAATAGATTTGCAGCAGTCTTAATTTACAGTGAGAACGTCGAGTGATGTACAGTTTAGAAATTTGTTTCGAAGATAACTTCTGTTTATTTTTGCCTTTGCCTATATGATTATAGTAATATTTCGCTTGAATACGAAATACAGAGTGGTCTTTGTTATCGTGTGCATTGGAAGCTAAACGAACAACGCGTGACTAGGGAATGAAAGCGCTACTCACATGGTTTTCAGTCAGTCACACGTTGAAACGCACTGCACTGATGCACTAAGCTATACACTTGAGTGGTACTAGTATATTAACTTATCAGTAACACACATCGTCAGCGTCAACGACGGGGACTGTATAAATATTAGGTGTCACTCGTTTTGACGAAGCATTATCAAAAAAAATCTAAGTAAACTAGTAATAAACCTTTTTTCCTTTTTTTCAGTCACAGAAAACACGGAGGTTTTTGAGTTATGTCAGGCGTCAATGATCCAAAAACTTTGGTGTGGCATAACTCCATTTTCAAGGTAAGTCATAGAATGTCCTATTTTCTTTTAGCAAAACTGACAATGATTCTGTCTCATCACCTCTAGATATTTTATCTCTGAGTTTGGGATGTGATGAGTATCTCTTGGCGACCATATGCAAAGACCATCGCCTGAGGTTATGGGACCTTAAGGTGAGCTTCACTTTCTGTTCAATATTTGCACTTTTTTCAGTTAATGATTCGGTTTATAGAAAAGAACATTTCACCCTGCTGTGCTAGTCGTGTCTGCTGTAGGCTTCTTAGGACTGGTTTTCGTGTAGCATGTCCACTGCCTTAAATGGTGTGTATCGCAGGGGGCTGTCAACCTTAAACTCTCAGAACTCACGTTTCCTTAAAGCATCATCAGCTTCCCATATCTTTACTTTCTAACTTTGCCACACTTCTCTGGGTCAGTATTCCTAAGTCATCTTTAATTCCTTCCAGGTCTGCAGCTTTTGATAACGAGTTGAGTTTACGTAACAGCATCCCAGTGGATGGAAATCAGATATGATCCCATTTGACTGGTCCTGATCACTGATTGTCCCACTCTTCAAGAAAGACGAAAACTTGTAAAGTAACCACAAGGGAACCAGTCTACTGAACAATGTTTACGATTTTAGAGTGGTGGACACATTACCACTGATATCGATTCTGAGCCATATGGCCTAGAATCTCCAATCACGGGAACAGCGAACCCGAGAGAATCTGGGAGGGGGTTCAGACTAGACCGTGCGTGTATGGACCAGATATTCACCATACTGCAGACACTAGCTGTATTTCTTAGCCCAGAGGTGGCATTCGAATCCGTCAACTAAGAAGTTTCATGGCATTCTCTTATTGAAAGGGGTGTTGAGTAAGTACATCACCACCAAGGATGTCTCCTCTCTCCATACTTATTCAACTTTAACTTACTGGTGGTCTCCCCCTCATCTGACTGTGAAGAGATCAGTCCTATCACAGGAGAAATTTTGGCAAACCCAGAGTATGTGGATGACGTAGTCCCGTTAGATAAGAAGACTGACAAGATACAGTCTACTGGACACCTTGAGTGACCTTTTGAGGATGTTGGGGATGCGTTTCTCACCACCCAAATGCAAAAACCTGCTTCAGTAACCGATCTGCTTTGGTGCCATGCTTAGCAAGAGAGAATGAAATGGTCGAGCTCATTGATTAGTTTACTTACTTGAGAAGACAAATCAGTCGTAGTGGGTCAGTGAGGGACGATATCTCTGCACAGATGCAAAAGGCTTTTCCAGTTTTTGCCAACTTACGCCATTTATGACGTCGCCGTGATATTCAATTGACTATCAAGGGTGAAGCATACTGCGCTGCAATTTGCTTTGCTCTGCTATACGGCTGTGAAAAATGGAGATTAAAAGTAAAGAACACTGAGTGGCTTCAACCACTGTTGTCTTCCTAGCATAGGCTGTGTGTAATAGTGTCATTACGCCAGTAACACAAAAATCAAGCTTTGAGTTTTGAGGGGAAGAAAAAAGTCAGTCAATGAGGTTGTAAATTTTCACCCACTTAGGTGACTGGTATGTGTGTTATCACAATCACTGTCTGCCTCATCGCACAATAGCTAAAGTAGGTTCAAGATGGAAAAAGGTTATGGGGGACCAGACTAAGATATGGTGTTTATCCATGGAGTCTTTGACTGTTGGTTTGATCTTTATCGACTTCCCGGTTCATGCACGTTTGACGAATGCAACTAGTAGTTGGGGACCCTAGGTGATATGGCTCAGAATCGATGTCATTTTTGCAGAAGTATGTGCGCATTACCTTCAACCTGATCGTCATAGCGAATTACATTCTCATCCCATCTTGTTCTTTTTTCACGGCTTTCTGCCATTTTTGATTGCTTTCTCGCTTGATGTTCTGGTATGAGATGTGGGAACTTGTACCGTTATACAGTAATGCCTGGTCCTATGTTGGTTTCTTTCTGTCTGTCTGTCTACTATTTTAGAACAGCAATTCCAACACCCGCCGGTCTTCAAGTTAGGTAGATGCAGTACTCACATTTATCGGCAGTGAAGTTTAATGTGCTCAAATTAAATTTACTATTTCTCTTTACTCACTTGAAAGTCTTTAGCCTGAGATTAGTACCCACCAACTACGTTGCTGTTGATATATTTTTACCTGAGTTCATGGTGGTATGTACCTACAAAAAACTAACATTTGTTTTGGTTACGGGCTGTTATTTTTCCTGCGAGTGTTCATCGTGCACATATGTATTCACCTAATAAATATTCTTGTAGAAGTATTTCCAGTCCCTGAGTTCTTGCATATTGATTTATTTGTAACCTTTCCAGCTGATCAAGAATAGATAAATTGTATACTTATTGTGATAGGGAGAAATCTGGCTTCAGAACTGGCATATAGCTACTTAATTCAAGAGATTTCTGGGTAAACTCACTTGACTTTCGTAGTCAACAAATAAGTCTGGGTCATGTTTCCAACCTAGTCTACCCGTTAGTAATTTTATTTCCTAACTGGAGAAGAATAGCAGTAAGAAGGTTATAGATGTGTAATTACCTATGCCTCCAAAGCAAACGCAGTATATTTTGAGTAATGCTTGTTTTTGTGTGGTGTGAATTTGACATCACATAGTGATTTGAACATTCAGTGACTGATATGACTTAGATTTGTTATTCATTCGCACTATTTGTGGTGAGTGGATGAGGAAGAATAAAGATGAACTAAATCGAAAGACCAGAACATAGAGTCACTTAATGTTGGTTTCGAGCGCCCCATTATCCTACTGTTGTATTCTTTTAAGCACTAAGGTACTTCTCTCTGTCTGAATATCAGAAGTCAGTAGCTGTATTTATTGAGTGAAATGTTTTAAAACTGGTCTCACTGGCAACGACGTGCTCACTCACTACTCCTTTCGTACCTTTTTGTTTTTTCCCTTGTCTTTTTCAATCTTCTTCATGTGCTCAAGGTCTGAAGACATATTTTGATGTCAGTTTCTAACTGCATTCACTCATCGAGCATGTAGGTTCCTCTTCTTAACTCTTGTATCGTACTTGCGGTAATTTACATATGAGTTGTATTTGTAGTTCATATTTTATGTGATCTAGCTATAAATGCTTTGAATAATAATTTCGTAAACATCCAGCTACGACTAAGGCTTCGGTGAGATTTTCTTAGAAATGGTTCATAACGTCTTGATTGGAGTCGTGAAGATGATACGAATTAATATTTGGAGACTTGGTGAAATGGTTAAAAATCAATCACAGTGGCGCAGATACATACATCTCGTTTTCTAAGTCTTGAATATGTTAACTAAACCTTTCTCTTTCTTCTCTGTCGTCACTTACATTCTTGTTGACCTTAATTTCACTTTTCCTATCCAGTTCTTTGCACGCGGTTGTGAAGTGTTGTGACTTGAACCCATGCACCTATGTGCCAAGTTTTCTGTCGATTTGTCAGTGTCTGTCTATTTTTCCCCTTAAGTCAGATCTTTACATACGAAACTAATTTATTTGTAAAACGCTAGCACCAGTGAGAATATTTATTAGTACTTTTACAAAACATACTTTTAAAAGACCGTATCTTGCATTTTTACTTTAATGTGTACCAACTTATATATCTCGTACATTCATTTAGCATCGCAACTGCTTTGTCATGTTAGATCTGTTGGAGATCTTGCCCAAAACTCATGATGTTGTTTTATCATCCGATCAGTCCGTATTACGCTCAAGCTTTGCACCGGGTTTATGCCATCGACTGTCTTCATCTCCTGCATCTGATCATGTTATCAACTTGGTTGTGTACTTGTCTATGTGTTTGTCCGCGTCGTCTAACAGTGTCAACCTGGATTTTGCCTCTTCTGAAGATGTTAACTCAAGTTATTGGTGTTGGATGCAATTGGATGTTGACAAAGCGTTAAACCGCAATCGTGATTGTTTACGTGTTCTGCAAGTTGAACCATTATTTCAGCATTTATTGAGAAATGTATCAAATGAAAATAGTGCACAATTATGGTCGTACAAAAGTAATATGAATTCATTACTGAAAATGAGCAGACCCGATGTTAGTGTTTTGGATTTTGTGCCTTCCGAAATAAAGCAGAAGTCAGAAACAGGAAGCGATTCACGTGAAAACAGAAAAGGATCCAATAGTGCTCTAGGCAAGTACCAATGTCTCCTTGTTTATCTAGAAAACTAATGATTGTGGTGTTGAATAAGTTGAATAAGAGTGCTTGTGAATTGTTGTCAGATGTCTATTCCCCTCCCCCTCCAGTTAGATGCAGGTTTCATTCGCTACTAGCTCAAACGAATGATAGTGTGCAATTTATAAAGATGCCTTCTACAATTAGTATTCTAAGTACTTCATAATAATGATAATTGCAATACATTTCCCTCCGATCAGTTTAGTCTGACAAAGTGATTTGAACTCGAATTTCTCTGTATAACAGCATACCAAAACTAAGCTATCAAGCAAATTAAGAGATAAAAACGTCGATTAAGAATAAATGCAACAGTTTCATGCTCTACTGAAGGTTGACAACCTCATCGACTGACTTGCCTTTCTTGCTTAGTACCCTTTATTTGACCTCAACATTACTCACACTGTAATTCCACTAAACTTAAGGAGTGCTATGAAGACACCTGTGATCAAAATCATTTAACTGCTTCATGTCTTCCACTTTTAATGGCCATGTTTCACACTCGTATGACAGAACAGGACGGATTGCGCCAGTGAAGTATACTGGTCTTTTGATAAATAGTCGGATATATCGCCAGTCAGAGCTATAGGTGACGCAATTTGGCAAGTGCCAAACGAGCCGTCTGCATCCGAGCAGAGATTTCGTCAGCAACCGGCTTGTTCGAGCTGATACAGCTCTTCAAGTACGTGGAGTATTGATCACATTTCTCCACTTTACTTCCTATCATTAAACGGGAAGTGGTTGCAGCAGACCAATCCTGGAGCATCATCTTACATTCGACAGGTGTGATACGCATGCTAAACTTCCTCAGACTTCTGCTCAACGCTTTCAGAAGGCCCTGGATTTTGTCAGCATCTCCTAGCAGGAGAATATTGTTTTGCATACTCCAAGTCAACCAGATGACCTCCAGGGAGTAGATCACTACCTGTGAAGTCAGACATATCTACCGTCATGTTCATCAGTACATTTGTGACGAAGTTAAATAAGAACTATGAAAATGGATATCCCTGGCGGACACCACTAGTCGCCGTCACTTCTGATGACAACTCTCCCATAATTCCTTACACAGCGACGTGAGTTCGAGTTAAGAGCTTTGATAAGGATTATAGATTTTCTCGGTACTCCTTTTACAGTCAAACACTGGGGCCACTACCTTACTGTCGACGCAGTCGAATACCGCCTTCAGGTCAAGAAATATGGCAAATGTCGGCTGTTGTTAAGCATGCCAAAAACATCCGGTATAAGCAGAAGATGCATTTAAATTAGAATGAAGATTGATAAAGGATGACCTAATCATATAACAGTCAGGAAAGGTCACCGAAGTAGACAAAGGTTAAATTTATCTTCTTTTTGAACAAATAAATCAGGTTTGGGGCGTTTAATGGTTATGGCTTCAGCAGACTTCAGGAGAGTCCTAAATTGGCTTAGAACGACAAAATGAACTCGTTGTTTAGAGCAGGGCCTACATATTCGGCTATTATAAATGCTTATATCTTAAGAAATTTATATTCTAGTGATATGTTAGTCGTTATCATCAGTCAGAAAGAAAAACTACTTAGGACTGTAAAACAATCCCGACATTGGTCAATGTTGAGACTGTGAGAACGGAAGTTAAGAGGAATAAAGTGGAGGATAGGAAGAGAAATAAAAGGTAGTCGTGATCGCGGTGACGATGATGGGTGTTTATAAAAGGCAGGAAACAAGTTAGGACAGATAGTGTAATGTTATAACCTAAGGAGACATCTTTTATATATAGTTAGATTAGATGCGGATATCCATTTTCCAAATTTACAAGTTAATGTAACGTTGGTTAATTGTTATTTTGCCACTTACGTCGTTATTTTGTACTTATTCGTCTACATGGTTTGTATTAGAAAATAAACACTCTCGATTCATAGTTAACATCTCAAGTACGAAATGCTGGATAACTCTAACCCACCTTGTGATCCGCCTCATAAATAATTTCATATTGAGTTGTACTATTCCTTTTTGCTTCTTAAAAATAGTGATGATTAAAGTAGGATTTTTTTCTTCAGATGTGCTATTTTTTGGTGATCATATTCCACACGTGTATGCGACTTTTTAATTATGATCCCAAAGTAAATATTTATTCATCTTCTGTCTAGGCGGCATATGGTGGATAGCGCATCAAACGAACACTGGGGATACTGATCTGGATAGTAATTATTTTGTAAGGTGGACAGAAATTAAAAACTCTGAGTGTGATTCTAACAAGTACAAAAGAACCATTTCAGCCTTTCCACCCGGTGTCAATCTCTTACAACCTTTACCTAACTGGCACAGAATTCCTGAGTATTTAATGCAATTATCGAGTCAGGAGCGAACGGACAGTCTATGGGAAGAAACAAGTGTTGATGCTCAGTTACAAATATTTTTGGACTATCTTTTCCATCCAGGTTGTTTATCTTGGTTCGCCATTACGAATGCGTTCAAAGTAAGTGTAACCATACTTTCGTAAGCATAATCCACTTAAATAGCATTTACTGAAGGTATATTCAGGAGTATTCAGTATTAAACCCTAATCTTTACCAACATCTCGTAATGGAGTGTATACATCTGTTGAAAAGACCACACTTTCATATCCAAACCACCATACCCAAACTGAGAAACTGGCTGCTTGCAGAACAAAAATATATTGACCAGCTAGTTTCTGAAGCATTGGTATTTGGTCTAGTATGACACTAACCATTTTGTTTAGGAAATAAAGTCATGACTTTCCAACACTATATGTTTAACTTAATTTCACCCGAAAATTTAAAGTCAGATACATTAGATCATGATATCGTATCACCTGTATTAGTAGTCACACTGAATAACCTCACTTACAAACTTTAGTATTATCCCATTTATTATATGGTTAACAGTTTTTGTACCCTTACCGACACTTTTTCAACTTTCTGTAGTGGTGATGAAATATATGCATGCTCCGCTTTGTGCATTCAGCGTGTTTTCAAATTTGATTATTGTTGCCGGGATCCTCAATCAGTGAAGTCATATGCGTATTTATTTAAATTTTTATCTGAAGTATTGGTTGTGTACTATCAAATCACTGAGTGACATGAGTATGAAGTAGTCAACAATGTTGGCCGATCACATAAAGGATCAGTTTTCACTAACTGAAATGGCTGTCATACAATATTCATAACTATGTGGTTTGAGAAGCAGTTTGGATTAAAACGGTGAGGAGCTAAAAATGTTTGGGATAGTTGAAGGATAATATCACAACAGATCATAAACTGTTTGTTTCGGTGAGGGAGATGGGTTAACTATGGTTAGCTATGCAGCCTATAACTTTTTTTTCACTTCGTCTGCTGTATATTCGTGCTCATGCTACAGGGGAAACTCATCACGTATGCTTTTGTGGTACCAAGATATGTAGTGATATTCAAAAATGTTACGTTGTTATATATAGGCTAAATCAAAAACTGCCCTTATATTGTTGCTGTTTTGACACATTCGTTTTTAGAATCTTGCAAGTGTTGATATTTCCTACTATAGATTACACAGATGCAAATGCATACTGTTTTGATCGTTAGAGCAAAGAGCAGATACATTTTACTTTTGGTTATCCATAGTTGCCGTTACATTCGTGAAGAGTTGTAATTAACTTCATGATATCGCACTGATTCATTATTTATTTTGTAATTTATCATCACAAAGTTAATACTCTATTATCAAGTGTTGTGAGCTTGAGGTTTTGTGGGATATTCGCTTGAATTTTTCTCACTTCTTGTTATCTTTCATTTATACACCGACTGTGGTAACAATCAAAAGTGTATACAGAACCAGACAGTTTTCATATGGAAAACGCTGAGCATTCAAGTTAAAAGTTTAATCCATAAAAGGTAGAGAAACCCTAGCAGTTACATTGCCATCACTATTGTGCTTAGAATCATGGAAGTCATATTCAGTGCTAGTTTGGAGTCAAGGTTTTTAACTGGTTTAGAAGAAATCTTTGTGTCCACCAAGTTGGGTTGAATGTGGCACCTGATTTCCCCTTTTTAATCTTGTAAGTCCAAGACACTTGAAGATGGTGAATAGAACTCCAGTACCTAAGGCTGTTTTGCATGGCGTCATGATGTGGTCTAATGACTGTCATTTCTACCTATCGTTGCTCATATCTTAGCATTCTGCAGTTAAGATCTACAGTAATGCTACCAAATATGAGAAAAGACTTATCAGTTTTCGGAATTTTGTTTGTTCCATATTCATTTGACTAAGGTTTGGTTTACATCCTAACTAACTGTCACAATCCTCCCATCCACAACATAGAAATGGGCTTTTCAATATACTTTTACTACTCAGAATGGTAGTTGGTGTTTTTCCTTTAGGATATTTAAGAGCTTTCAAATTTTGTAATCCACTTTAACGGTATCGTTTCTTAGGAGAGTTTACGTTTTTTTGCTTTGATTTACATTCATTCAGTCACTTTGTGAAAGTTATGCGCTTCCGGATTGTGATTTGGTCTCAACTGCCAGTAACCTGCATGAAATGCGTGTTTGTGTACATCGTACTTTAGTGGACAAGGTTAGTTTTCTGACAAATTGTTGTAATCATTTATGCTTTCAAATATTCTTCAACTAAACAGTAGAGTTTTTATTAATCATGTATGCTATCCAAAGCTGTGATTTTCATAACACTGCCTCCATCTCATGTTGCTACTTCTTTTACACTTACCCTAGTGAGTGTTATGCTATTTCAATCATCGCAAAACTGCTTCTTGCTGAGATTTTCGTCAGGCTTGTAGTTAATCTGTTATTTATAGTCAGTCTTTCATGACATATTATTGTATTGGTTTCTTCATACTTACTTGTCTTTACTAGATAGATGTAGCAAAATAAGTATGGGTGGTCGATGAGGACAAAATTAGATTTTGTGGTTAGAATTTATCTGTGACAAAAAGTTTGGTCTTATTTTTTAAGTCTTAGAATTTTGATAGGAAATTTGGACGGTTGACTTTCATCTATAGGTCCCAGAGTTTTTACTCTACTTTACGTTTAGTGCATAATAAAAACGTCTCGTTAGAAGATTACTCTCAAGATTCTTATGTCTAACCCGGTGAAGATTAATAATGTTTTTAGAGGAATTTTTGGAATTAGTCTCATAAGGTTGGCGGGGGGGGGGGAAGAAGATAGCAATACGTTTTTGAGGCATATTGCAGTTTTCGTTTTGGCAAAATAACAGAACTTGATAATCATGCATGGGGCTTCGTATGATCACAAGCCACTCCAAGTGTTCGAGAGTTCATTATGATATGTGATCACCTTAGCCAACTAGATCTCATCGAATTTGCACGTATGACCTAACGGTCAACCGTATGAATGACTCACACTTCTGAGTATTTCGGTATCTGATTTGTCTTCTCAATGGGTTTGTAACTTATCAGCATGAAACTGTCGTGATGGAGGCCAATATTTTTCAGTCATAGCTGTTAAATATTATCGCATCTATTTTTTGCTGATACTTCAAACTGTTTCTTGTGTGTACAAGGCTAAATTAATTATCCACTATCCTTGATTTATGACAGTGATTATCCAAGGTAATTAGTAGTCAGAATAACTTTGGTTAACAGAATCGCATTATGTATAGGGCACTACATACGTAAAAGTGAAACCTCAACCACAACCATATGCTGTTAGGAAGTCTCGATGCTGATATGTGGAATGCAGTAGTCACCCAGATTAGGATTCAACTTATACCATAGAGTGTCATAATCACTATTCGTTTGGTTGTGAAATACCTACCTTATTGTATTTCATTACACTGGCTGGCTCAATCAGATCAACAAAAACTGAATAGGTCAACAGGTAACCGTCTATTAGTCACGATATTTGGTGTTTTTTAAGCTCATAAAATAAGCATGTAGCTAATTGTATTTTACTTCGGCTGTTCATAATTATCTACTTGCCGTCTCTTAGGTTATTCCGAAGCTGGACCGAGATGGTATAGGAACAATGTTCAAGACATTTTATTCAACAGCTATTGATTATCATGAGCATGGTTTGCAACCGCTTGGTTTACTACGTATTCATACCAAAACAGCTAGTACATCATCTGGACAGACTATGTTTCCCTGCGAAGATACTGTTGTTGTCATTCGTCGATGGGGATTTTCTATCTTACGCCAACTACAAGACGTGGAAATCCTGTTATGGAACAACATACCTCCTGTTGTTGGACGCCTACAGTCATGTAAGTATTTCTGTTTGTCGTGGTCATTTGCATGCTGTGAAGTATGCCATTTGTATTTTAGAAGTTTTTCATTATTTTATTTTAAAAACCACACACTAATATAACATTACCATTAAGTTGTAAAAAAGGAAATACTGACTTCTGAAAATAACCTGGAATATCATAGTAATCATATTCAAAAAACATTCATTTCTCTTCCTTCATTTACATTTCCTAGTAAAAAATGAAATTGAAATGCAGTTCAGTTTTCACTGACTTTGACTAAGTTTCAAGTCACTGGAGTTGTATGATGCCTTGACAGATGTTAATGCAATAAAGTTATCGTTTATTGCACTATCCCCAGTCACGAACTGACTTCGTCTTAAATTCTGCCTATAATGCGTAAGAAAACCTCTTAGCTAGAATGTGCAAAACGTGCCCCAGCTGGTAATTTAAAAAGGTTTTAGTCATTAAATAGCATTCTTCACTACTCAGGTCCTCAGTATTACTTATGGAATGAGATAATACAGAGGTAACGCTGTTCAGAAACATATTGTATCAAGCATCCGTAATTTATTGATTTCAAGTTGGTATTCATCATAGGCTGACATTAGTTGGAGAAACACTGAAAATCCGGAAACAATTGATAGCTGTTTTGTCCTATTTACGGGACTCAGCAGTGTGCACCTGTGATCCTGCCAGGGATGGAACTCAGGACCTCCAGATTCCTCGGCCAGCACGTTAGTGTTGAGGCACTGGGTCGAAATCCGATGGTCCATATTTCCTACTTCTGTCAGTTCATGATATAGCACGACCTCCTTTCAATGCCGTCATTTAGTAACTTTCCTCATGTTCGACGTGGTTGACCCCATCGATCACGAATTCTCATTGAAACTTCGGGAAACACCTTTCAAAGCTAGTCATTCATGAGCACCAGATTAATTCAATTTGGAGGTTTGTGGGTTGGGTTTCACGAATTTATAACGAACCTACATTCACAAAGTGACCCGGATTTCAGGTGACATTGCACTTTCCGATACTCATTAGCTGATAATCCCTGTGTAAATTATTTAGCTTTTGAAAACGGGAGGAAACATTCAGTTAGTTCTGTATCCAACTATCTGTAGAGCTGATGATCGAACGGGTTGCATCTTTTTTGGGTTACTTATCGTTCAAGCATGTAAAACGCTTACTTATACATAAGGTTCACAATGTAACATAAAGTCGCTTCAGAATTATTCTAAATATTACCAATGATTAACTCAGAGTAACTGAAGATCGTATATTGACTGTTTATTTTAAACATTGATTGTCGAACTGACCTTTGATTACCTTAACTTATTCGGAATCACAGATCTACTGATATATTAAGCAAGAATAATTCAGATAAATTTAGTGGAATTGTACAGTTGTATATACCAAACCACGAAGTAATACATAAAAGCTTTTCATATTGTCTTATCGGCGAGGCTGCGCAGTAAGTCGGGCGGTATTCTAATTAGTGACCTACTCATTGAAATCCTTCTGTGCAAGCCGATAAATCTTAGCTCCTCCCGCAAGTACGGAAATCGATAGGATTTAAATGTTGCTAGAGTTTGTTAAAGGTGTTAAGGTAAGCATGATGAGTAAGGTTTTGATTGTATGCTACTTTCATGCTTTTAGGATCATATATCTGTATATCAACTTGTTATGAACCTATAAAGGTGATATATATATATATATATATATATATATATATATATATATATATATATATATATCCGCTCACTTTTCATTCTGGAGTTTTAGATAATATATTTTTTTATCTTCGCTAGGTAGACATAATGGCTTAATAACATTACACTTTCCTCTTTCCTATATTTATTACTCTGTAGCTTATTCAAAAACGAATACACAAGCTATCATTGATTTAACTACAGACTGCAGAAAAATTCTCCATGTTCTTAATGAACAACCTAACTGGCCGAAATGGGAAAGTTGTCTTTTTGACCATATCAAGTCTGATTTAAGTCCATTGTTACTAGTGGAACAAGTAATGTAAGTGGTTCGAGGGGTGTTGTCAGCTCCTTTTTTACTACCTATTCACTACTAATACTTTAAGACCGTGTATATAATCCGAGCTGTGTTGGCTATTAATTTTGTGTTTAAAACCTTAATGTGCTAAATAATCAATTTTCGCTTTAGACTAGTCGTCAGCACAAGTTGAATATAGTCAAAAACCACCTTAATGTAGTGGGAGTACACATTCATTACACGTAGCGGATATAATTATCATTTTATTTGAGGAGTGATACCACAATGCAGGCTGTAACGACCAGTTTGGTTCAGTCAATGACGGAGGCATACGAGCTATAACATCAAGAAAACCATGCTATACGTATCTCACAAGGAGTGGTTATCGTGACTCAGTTGCCTAGTGGATGACGCTCTGGCGTTTGAAGCGATCGGTTCTGGTTTAGAGTCTCATTGGGAGCAACATCACTCACTAGGAGGAAGGTACATTCAGCTGACGAGTCCCAACTAGGACGGTACGCGCGCCCTGGGTTCTACTGCTAGCCAATATTCATCATTACTATCGAAATTGGAAATACCAGCAATATCAAGGCATCCTCACAGGACCCAATAGTGGCTGACCAATTCGGTTCAATCAGTGACGGAGACGTATCAGTCATAACATCAAGAAGACCAGGCTGTAACCACCATCTATCGAATGACTTAACGTTTATGTCGCTCAAGCAACTTACCTTAAGTTTTTTTGTCTTTTTAGCCTTTATGTATGAAGATGAAAGAAACACCATTTTCCTAATATCAGTATGTATTTCACAAGACCATAATAACGCCATATATGGTGTCTGTATTATAGCTGGTTGCTGTTACTCGCCATCCATGTTTTAATGGGTTTGAAACTAATGTGCTAATTGGGTGGCCATAGTCTGCCAGCTTAAATGTAGCTCTAGATTGTATGCGTTTTTCCTTTCAATTTAACGCAACCTTTTCTCTTCACCAAGTGGTGATACTATATGCTGCAAATAACCACTAATAAATGTGTTTGAGGATAAATAGATTTTTGAACATATAGGGATATAAGAGAATTATTCGACCAGCATATTTCATATATAATCGATTGATGACTGTTGGTGATCAGGGTTTAGCATATATTCGGTGAGTAGAGCTGTCGTCCATTGGATTGGACACATAGCTTTCACTTAGTGGCTTGTCAGTTTGAACTCTGCTCCACGTGTTCTGAAAACCTAAATGGTATCATTAGACTTCAAATAATTAGTGTAGCTTGTAGTATATCAACTTACACTTACTTTTTGGGTTTTATTAGGCAATCGGACGGATATCCCTTAAAAGTATATGGTTTATCGTGATCTAACCTAATTTGCATGAACTGTCTAGTGTATACTACTTTTGACCCATTGGTCTAGGCATGGATTCGAGCTCCACCCCGTCTATCGAGGTCTGAGTGGTTAGGTAGGTATGACTAACTGACTGACTAAAAAAGCCCAACGTAAATCATCACGCACAAGTGCATCGGGTCAAGTTGCCACACTTCACAGTAGTATGCAAAAAAGAAGTGGATAGAACAAGACTGATATGAAAGTAGACAAAGTTGTGTGAGAGAATAAACAATCTGGAGATGATAGTTAGTGTGAACACTCAAGATTTAGGGGATGTCAAGAAGTGAATACATCTGCGCCATTGTAACCGATTCTGAGTCATGTCTCCAAGAGTCCTCAACCACTGATTCCTTTCGTCTCGGGAACCCTAACCAGGCCGTCCACACCTCCCTACACGGCTTAAACCAACAGTAAGAGACTTCATCGACTGGTTCCACGTCCTCATTTGGCTACCCTGAACCCTTTTCGACCTAATCCAGCTCCCCTTAGCATGGCATTTCGCGGTAGACGGTGGTTGGATATACATAGTACATATCCAAGCCACCTCAGTCGATGAGTGCATCTTGATTTTTCCAACAACTAACAGAATGTAGTTTGTTCTGGTAAGCAAAGACAATAACGCGTAATCCCACACAATACTACATTCCTTTGATTGATCATAATTTAAAACAGCAAAAGAAAAATATACGGAATTAAAGTTAGCAAAGTAAATCAAACAGATAAGCAAGCAGCCTACATCTGAATAAGTAATAAAATGGTCGAAATTTAGAGGAAGATAAAGGTGTACATGTTTGCCGTTGTGATGAATTTTGAGCCATATCACATACATTTTTCGAAATCCTAAATTAGATAACTATTTATCGTCAGTGTTCTTGTTATTATAAGGGGGAGTTAACTCGTTAATCAGCATGTTTTTAAATAGTTCTTGTGTTACATTAAATCATTCACTAGCTTTCGGTGGAAATGATGTTGTTGCCGCATTATCCAGGTCCCATACTGATTGATTAATGGACTCGAACAATCATAGAATATGATTTATAAAACAATTTAGTAAAACTTTCATCAGCTTCAACCTTCGGATGTGAAATTGTGGTATGCAGATTGATCTTTCATTGGCGATTCAGTAATATGGAAAAAAGGGAAGTAGGTTAAAATAATATATTCAATAACTAGAGGGATCAGAGTGCCTCAGAACAACTGCATCCTATTTCTTAATCTTTTGATGTTCGTATGTCGCATTCAACAACCAAAAGGTTTACAGTCACCCCTACACATCTGAAGCCAATTATCTTGTTTTATTTGCCGTGTTAATTTCTTTCAGGACTTTATAATGACATTATTTAGCATTGGAAAATCCATGAAAATATAAGATGTTATCATTCAAAAGTATTAACTTATTTACTGTGTTGTTAATGTAAATATCCTAAGATACTTTATCTAATAATATTTTAGTGAGCAACTTGATCAAATCAATGAGTGTTGGTTACCACCGCCTATCTCTTCATCTGTGAAATTCATGAGTCCGTTTTGTACTGGTTCCCTTTCGAGTTCACAACTCTCTGCTGTCACCTGCCTAATATCACTTCTAGATAGCTATGGTACTATGGAGAAGAGTGTTCAATCGTTACAAAGTCTTTTTGATATGGATGCTAGTTCAACATGTTACGACATGGAAATAACCAGTCAGTCTTGGCTTAATAACAACAGTAGGTTTAGTGGAGAAAGAAGTAAGCTTTCTATTAAGTGGGTGAACAAGGGAAATTTACTTTTTCTGGTATTTTTCAATAAGGAATCTGTTAAAAAATATTTGATACTGGGTGATGATTGAAGGTAAAATGAAAAATTAGACTGCGATGGTATTCAAACCTGCAACCACCGGGTTTCCGGCCCAGTGCTCTACCAATTGAGCTATGTAGTCCGACTGCTGACCAAATTTTTATTTCACTTCAATCACTGTCCAGTCAGCAGCTCAGTTGATAGAGCGCCGGGCCGGAAACTCGGTGATTGCAGGTTCGAATACCATCGCAGTCCGAATTTTCATTTCACCTTCAATCATCACCTAGTATCAACATTAGTCTACCAATCCCCGGCTATCTGAGATAATCAAAATGATAAAAAACTAGTTGTTATTATTGATGACATTTTTAAATTGTAGCTTGTATGAAGATCTAACGTCATTTTTCATATTCAGTTGGCTCCTAAGGATCACATGAGCACGTTTATATTTAATAGGTTAATTTACAAAGTGTTTAAAGACGATGCTGAACTGGATTTTGCATTTTCAGTTCATTTCTCCTTGCTATTAGACAGAAAATCAACATACTCGAACAATTATTAATCGTTTTAGAAACTAAGAAATCGAATCGAAAATCTAAATGCACTCAGCAACCTTATGCACATTCGTGCGATAGGCGATGAGCCAAATCTGTTGTGTGAGGGCTAATGATGCCACCTGATTGCCTAAATCTGAATAGGTGGAGTGGTGTTTGAACCTCTGACCCATTGGTCGACCAACTACCCATATTTGTTATCCTACTGAAATAGAAATCCGGGTGCGCAGTTATTATTAACTTTCAGATGCCAGTTACTCACTGGTTCATTACAGCTTAGGTAGCTACTGGTTAATTGACTTTTTCACATGAATCTCAAGCTACTGGACAACCGAACAGAGATTGACAAACCTCTTAAAATTAGTGTAACTAGATGACTGAGTGAGTGCATAGACCTTTACTTTTTCGCTGGATTGAATTTTATCGCAGCGGTTGCGTCGTGGTTTTGAACTACTTTCATCTGATGGAACAATCGGTTGGTATGCTTATCTTTCTCACCACAATTGTGATTCCACAACGTATCATGCCAATATATACATTCATTTTTCAGTTTGATAGTTTCATGCAATACTTATTGCCGAAGAGGGACTTGTTTGAACCCAAGATCCAGTGATTAGCAAGCAAACATCGCTAATGTTCATTTGGATCACCCTGTGCTTCGACTTTGAAGGCATTAGTAGTTATCTGAATTAAAGTTATTCTGAAACTGGTTTTTCAAAGAGTTTTCATATTCGAATTATACAGCAGCAGGAAATTACAGATATCAGTAAACAACAAATGATACTCGTTGCACAAGAGGTGACTCTCGTGCCTCAGTCATTTAGTGGGTAGCGTTTTGGCGTTTGGAGTGATGGGTACTGGGTTCTAATCTCAGGGGGAGCACCATCACTCGTTGAGGTTTAGGCACATCCAGCTGATGAGTCCCAAACAAGGCGAAATATGCGTTCTGGATTCCACTGTTAGCCAGCACCAAGTTAACTACAACATTCGAATTATATAATTGAAGTTTGTTTTGAATATTTTCGGTTCATACTTCCATTCCTGCATTCAGAAGCTAGAAAACTGTATAAGTTCGATAAATTTTCATTTGTGAGGACGGTAAGCAGAGAATTATCAGGAAAAGCAGCATTGAAGCCATTAAGAACTAAAAACTTATACAGTATTAGCTCACCTGTTTATGGTGTATCACACTAGTTAAAGTGAGATTATAAAACTGCGGTGTGGTTTTTAGCGTTAAATTCGCTTGAGTTAATGTCGATTAAATGACCGTACAAGTTTTAATACCACAACACGAATACGGATCACATTTCAGTCCATGTATATGTACTTACTTACTCAGTTGGTCTGAATGTTTACCTTCCTACTGCACTAGATAACCATGAATCAGTCTTGATCTCTGAAAATTATTTATACGCATACCTTTTTGTTCATAAAATGAATAATTTTTATGACAAAACATTACTTTTAGTTTGTTAGTCACTATTTGGCAAAACAATGATATGACTCGGGTGTAGCTTTGTTTATTTGCTGCTTGCGGTGCAGTTAAGCTCTTCGATTCATAGATTCAGGTACTCGACTGTCACTCATTGTGTTATGGGCTCAACTCCGGTGCATTCACTTCATTATGGGTAGCTGGTTTTTAACGTAAACATTCACACAATAGGCTCATAGCTTAAAACTTGAATCCACACTAAATTACTGAGTAGCATTATATTATTACATTCTATATTAAAGGGTGAAGTTTATCTACTTGTCGCTTTATTATTTTTATCATTTATTTGGCTTTATGGTTACGGATATCTACTGTAGTGATTATATAGTCAAAAAATCATTTGAAAGACTAAGAAGTCTTGCGGTGTTTAGGCATCATTATATATGAATCAGAAATGTTGAAAGTTTATCCTTTGTTGAACAGTGTTGCCATTCAACTAGTAAGTAGGATAGCCGTAATCAAATATTTGCAAACAGTATGCAGCTTTTATTTATGTATGGGAGCAGTTCTATGATTACTTCAGATACCTATGTTTTGATTATTATTGTTCTAGATTCATTCAATCCATTGAACAGACGATCATTATTGAGTGATGGTGGTTGTAGTAAATTTATTGAAAGTTTGTCTAACTCAAGTGTTGAATTTCTACGTCAGTCGTGTTGTGAAAGTACAGAAACTCGTATTCTTTTTACCTTCGCTCTTCTCATTTTAATTCGACGTAATGAACTTGCATCGAATGGTTTGGTTATGGTATGTGACAGAACTGATAATAGTAACATTGATGATAAGGATGATGATATTGAAGAGAAAGATATAAATATCAACTGGCATAGTACTGCAAAATGGAGACTTGTATCATTGATTCGAAGTCTTGGATTTCTTCGTACCCTAACAGTGATTCGTGTACGGCCTACACCTGATATGGATAAATTGTAAGTTACTTCTGAATAAGTGTGTTTGGCTTTCAGTCCATTAACTCTGATAATAATCAACTGAATATTTACGTTTTCATAATAATATGAGAGGTGACAATTTTATATTCCTGGTGTGCACCGTTTAAGTGTTCATAAATTGTGTTTTTCATCACTCGTCAACTAGTTATGTTCAAAAATTGGTGAAATGTTAATCTACTTAAAAAGCTGAAGAGCACTGCGTAAGAGTGTAGCCTATCCTACACTGTCGTTTTGAAAAGGGATCGTAGCATGGGCTGATTAGGGTCACTTACGAGTATCTAAACTGGAATAAGGTAGCGATAGTTGTTATGATTCCTTAGAAAGTTACTTCAACATGAGTAGGTTATATTAAAAAAAAATAATAAACTCAACCCAGTACATGTGTATGCTCTAGACTGTGAGCCACATTTGTTGTATGAAGGCTTATGATAGTATCCGGTTTCCCAGACTGAAGTAGAGGTAGGGTTCGAACTCGGGATCTTCTGCTTGAGAGTCGATTTCCTAAATCACTGGGCCTGAACGGGTTGGTAGTTGACGAAATCTCACCTCAAATATAGAAGTCCTGTTTAACCTTCGCCTGCTCATGCCGTCTCTGGAGCTGACGAGATATTCAACTTCCTATTAAAGGATGAGTATACAGCGTTTCAGTCCACTCTGCCTTGTTATGCAGCTATTGGACCTGGTTTCTGAAAATAAAAGCGATTATAGGTTTTTGACCACAGGTATCTTTGTAGCATTGATCACTTATGGCCGAATCACCATTGGAGCAATGTACAGGTTAGGTGAAAGATATTGAGCAAGGAAGGAAAGTCGGTCGACAAGGTTGTTAGCTTTCAGCGACTGAGGTAACCTGTATATGCATTGTGCATCCCCAGCCACCACCTACTTTGGTGTGGAATGTTAGCCGAAGCAGGGTTGAGTTGCAAGAGGGTGGAGAGTGGCGAAACCAAGACATAGCACCTATTACATCCTCACTCTCCATAAAATGGGAAACACATACATGACCGATAGCTTCTTCCTTGACTTGGTGTTCGGATTTACATATCACAATGACCCAACGAGTTATTCAGGTGGAATGCTTGTTCGTTCAGGGTCATATTACTCCAGAAAAGTCTGTTGGATAGTGGTAAGACAAAAAGCAGTTACCGTTGTAGTGTAAATTACTATACTATAGTGCGGGTCTAAGGGTGAAATCGTACTGTTGACTGGTTGAAAGTGACCGCAGCGAGGTGTTTATCTTGAATAATCAGCAGTACGAAGCTGATGCTGCCTTCCCAGCTGGAAGGTGAGAGGTTAGAAAAGGGCAACCCCAAAGATAGCACACCTATCTGCCTCATCGTCTTCTGGTGCCGGCGGCGTGGGTTTTTTATATTCGGTGTTCGAACAACCGAATCTCAAAACAATAACCTGTAAAAGGCTGTTACAGGCCTCAAGCAGACTTCCCCTCGGCTCTCTGTGGTCACAAAAATCTCTCTCCTTCAGGTACCTTGAGAATAAATAACCTTCTACGATGTGGGCCGCGGCGAAGTGTCAACCGTCCGAACGCTTCCAATAGTACACAAGACCCAATCAAACATAACCTTTCCCCTCAACTCCGCATTCTCCTCTTCCTCATACTGATACTAATATTAAACCTCTTACGCCCTACCCAACCTCTCACTCTGCAACTATTGCCAACAACCAAGGCCATCGAGTGTGGGTATTAAAGTCAAATCACCTGATCATAGTCATGAATTTTCAAAATCCACCTTAAGAGTATCCGGAGACCCAGTGACTAGCTGACATGGACTCGCTGGTGTAGTCATAACATTGAGTTGTAGGACAGAAAGGGCGCTTCTCGACTCGATGCCAGTAAACAGCCGTCTACCTGCTGCTTGACTGGATGGGTCTGTAAGGACTAAGAAGGATTGTGAGACTAAGCGATACTTATTCATAATCTCCGACTGCACCCCCAGCAACTGCAGTATGGATGATGCAACGGGTGAATTCTGTGAGGTGTTACTTTTGCTACAAAAAGCAAAACGTTGAGGTATAATCATAAGGGGAGGTGACTTTAACGCTCAAGTAGGGAAGCTAAGCCAATCAGAAAGGCATCTTGGTGGTATTTACGGAATCCCATGCCAACGAACCGACAACGGTGTTCGTCTGTTGCAATTTTGCTCCGACAATCACTTGTTTCTGGTCAACACTAACTGTAGGGATGAGGAGAGACAGCGCTGACATCAAACCAACGGTAGGTACGAATAGATCACATTGCTGTAAACCATCTTTGGAGAAGATAGGTGGAGGATTGCCTACCAGTTTAACTGACCTTCTGCAACGCTTCAGTTCCCCTGAACCTGAATGGGATGCAGATGTCGGTCTTCCAACTCTCGTGGAAGTTGAAGAGGCTGTATCAAACCTGAAACGATGCAAAGCAGCAGGACATGACAGTTTGCCACCAGAAGTTTTCAAGGATGGAGGTACTAGGTAGAGTGTGGGAATTGGGGGTAGAGCTATCAGACTGATGTAATTTACTGATCCCAGTCTGTAAGAAAGGGGAGAAATCTCTTTGTGAGAACCATGTGGGAATTAGTGTGACTTATATTGTGTCCAGGATCCTAGGGTCCATAGTTATGGATTGCCTAACTGGAGCTCGGGAACAGCAAACTCGAAAAAACCAGACAGGTTTCAGAACTAGATGAAGGTGCGTGGATCATATTTTACCCTCTGACAGGTTCTGAAACACAGGCATACCTACTTGCCAACGGCTGATTCTAGCCATTTTTCTTGACCTGAAGGCGGCATTTGAATCTGTTGATCGTGAATTGTTGTGACAGTGTCTGATTGTGGAGTGCCGAGTAAGTATATAATGCTAATGAAAGCTCTTTACTCTCTAATCATTAAACGTCTAAGTGACGCTCGGGAATTGCAAATCTGATAAACCAAGCAGGTTTTAGATCAGGTTGTAGATGTATCGACCAGATATTCACCATTTGCCAGGTTCTGGAAAATAGACAAACTTGTCAGCGCTCGACTTGATGGCGGCATTCGACTCCGTTAATTGAGAAGTCTTATGGCAGTTTCTTACTGAAAAGCGTGTCGGGTAAATGTGTCCCGAAGTTCGACCACATTGCCTTCTTTGCATAGACCGTGTTTCGTGGTGCCACTAAGTCAGTAACGTATAGGTGAGGCGTAGAGTTTTCTAGCAGAAGATGAAAGTCAGTTGGTGAGGTTGTGAACCTTCATCCATTCAGGTGGTTGAAAAACGTGTTATCATGCCTGGTCGACTTCTGGCCCATCACCCAATATTGACTGAAGTAAGCTCAGGCTGGTGGGATGTTACAGGTAGCCAGACTAAACATGGTGTCTGTCCGTGAAGTCTTTGACTGTTGGTCTGAATCATGTAGGGGGAAATGTAGACTTCCCGGTTTGATTCCGCTTGACAATGAAAACCGATAGTTGGAGAATCTAGGTGATATGACTCAGAATCAGTGTCAATGTTATAGATATTTCTACACATTATCTTCATATTAATCTTCATACTGAATTTCATTTTTATCCTATTCCTCCTTTTTTTCTTTTTACGACTTTATACCACTTTTGAGTGCTTATTCCTTCATTCATTTATCTTTCACCTTGATGCCGTCTAGTGTGATATCATGATACAAAGTATGGTGGTTGGAATTGTTACACAGTGACGCCACTTTTCATGTTGAAACTGATGGCATGATGAAAATCAGAATGGCTGCATATATGCTTCACGTCCTAACTATGTAATATCTTCATATTGTGTCTTGGTTTACTGTCAGTAGTGATCCTTAGTATAATGGTTACTGTCTTTGTTTCGTTTCGTTGCTAGGCAAATAATTGGTGTTTTTCATTTTGTAACCTTCAGATCCATTATTAGAGATCATCTGAATGCTCTTGGGATTCATGATCTTTCGCTTTCTGCAAAACAATTAGATACAAGCTTTAAACATTCATCTTCTCCGCACTCTCCGGTTATCATCAGTCAAACACCTGGTATGACCATTTTCGAACAGATATGGTTTAATTGGGATTGGTTGAAGTTATGTTATTCGAAGACGTGTACCTTTCCTTCTTCTTCTGATTGGCTTGAATTTAGTCATCATATTTTGTTAGAGTTCTCAAAATTACTAGTGCCTACAACAGATGGTGGACAGGGAATTGTGTTTGTGTTTTGGATGCTTCTATGGTGTGGACACGTAAGTTTACCTGAATTGATTTCTCTTCGCATATTTTTTCTTAATTACACTTTCTGAAAACCTCCCTGAAGTAAAACTCAGAGCTAAGAAACTCGATAACTGTGTCCTATTAAATGAGCCAAATACGAAAGCAGGCAGATTTATTGTCGTAGTGCTTTGAAAAAGGTTCTGTGTAGATATAAAAATAAAAACCAGGGGATATAAAGAAAGGATGCAGTCAACGAAGATCATTAAATTATCTAACAAGTTCTAAGTTTCTTCCAAACTATTTCTACTTCAATTAACAATGCATACCAAGACAGACGGCTTTTAACCATATGCAGCACATATCTCAACATTATCAGTTGGTGAAGTGTAACAACCTCATCACCTGGTGGCCCTTCACATAAACTCTTCGTTTAACATCAACGGTGCTCACTCTGCTGTTCCACAACATACAAACAATGGAACTAAAATGAATGTTACAAAATCCTCAGACTTCTCATTTCGTAGTGGTGTTCTATAAGCTAATATATTCACACCTGAAATAAACTAAAACTTCAACATTGGTGGTTTTGGCAACTTCAGTGATTCAAGTACTTTTCAATCACGAATAAATAACAACAGAAAAGTTCTAAAGAACTGGTAGTTTTGGTGAGTTTTCTTTGGACTACTCAGAACTCCTTGTCAGACCTACACTCTTCGAAAGTCGAAAACTACTTAATTCTTGTTTTTGTCTTCTTAATGAAACATATTACATACGTGTAAGTAAATATGTGGACATCATTATTAATATTTTTATTAATTATGCTGTCCTGTTATACAGTTGTGAGACATCACTACTGAAAGTAGAAAATATGAAGAGACTGCATGTTTTTGACAACAGCTGTTTTCGTAGCGTTGATCACTTATGGTGAGAATCATCATGGGAACATTATGGAGACTAGGCAAAAGGTACTGAATAAGAAAGGAAAGTCGGCGCATGAGGTTGCCAACCTACACCAACTGAGGTGGCTTGGAAATGTGTTATGCATCCCAAACTACCGCTTACCATGATGACAGATGCTAAAAGAGATGGATTGGATTGGAAGAAGGCTCAATGTGATCAGGCAAAGACATGACACCACTGCATGCAGTTTCTGACTGTTGGTCTGAGCTGTGTAAGGATGTGTAGACTAGCTGACTGGAGCCTCCGAGACCATACGAATCAAATGTTGGGGACTCTTGGTAAAATGGTTGGGAATCGGTCACATTGACGCAAATCTACTCACTTTTTGATACTTCCTAGAGCTTGAATATTTTCACTAACCTTTATCTTGAAATGACTTGGCCTTTACTTTGTCTTTTTCGGCATCAGTCTTTTTCAACCGACTTATTCTTTGCATGCTTTTTTGAAGTGTGGCAACTTGAAATGATGTACTTTTATCCGATATTCTGTGTTGATCTTTTGTCTGTCTGATGCGAACAAAGGGTATTTTTTTTGTTTGAATTATGCTGATTTCGCTAATGCTTGAACTACTGACTGTGTAATGTTCAATATTCTTCCTAAACAGCCCAGTGAATTGGTCAAGTTGTGTATGCTTCTGCTACCACCTGAAGATGTTTTCTCTAAACAAAGAGATATTGAGGATCAAGACAGAATTCTTCGAGAACCATTCACTGACCTAGAAGCTGTCAAGATCGCTGGAGAATGTGATTCATGGACATCACAAGCTGCTGATAGTGATGGAGATAGTCGTAGAATTTCTTGGTGGTGGGAGAAAGATTTCAGTTTTATTCATCTGTGCATTGGTTTAGCGAAGTTGTGGTTAGGGTAAGTCATATATGTATATATACATTCGCACTGGTTATTAATTTATCGAAATAAGATTCATGTTGATGATAAGTATGTCTAGCTCACTCAATAAACATCAGAGTCATATAAATCATATGCCTTTAACGTATGTGTGATTCTTCTGTGTTGTAGTAGGGAAGTTGAAATCGAATTCACTAAGTCATTGATAGCTTATTTAGCAACTAGGTGACTACTATCAACACCGTTCTTTCCTTCCTGTTATATGGCTGTGGGACATGGCCGTTAAAAGGAGAAGGCATGAAGTGGTTACAGGGTTTTGACCAAAAATGTCTTCGTAGCATTGCTTGATTTTGGTGGGTTCACCGTATGTTGAGGTTAGGCGAAGAGTACCCGGCAAGATAGACAAGTCGATCGAGGAGGTTGTGGACGTTCATCATCATCATCATCATCTGTCAACATAGGACCAGGCATCACTGGGTGACGGTGCGAGTTACCACAGCTCATATCAGTACATCAAGTAAAAAGGCAGTGAAGTAGGAGATGAAGAGAAGGAAACTCAGTCAAAAGAATTATAAGGTACGAAAGAGAGAAAGGAAGAGCAAGAAAATGGTGAGACTCGGTGTAGCGTTAAGATGAGGATAATGTGTGTATACATATGGGCCACTCACTTCAATTCTGAGCCATATCACCTAGAGTCTTCAACCACTGTCTCGTCCTGTCCCACGGACCCCAACTGGCTAGTCTGCATCGCCCCACATGGCTGAAACCAACGGTCAAAGGCTTCATACATCGATGCCATGTTTTAGTCTGGCCTCCTCGAGCCTTTTTCCAGCCTGGACCTACTTCGGCCAACATTGTGTGACGAGGCAATCGGCGACTAGGCATACATAACACGTGTCCCAACCATCTCAGTCGATGAAAGTTCACAAGCGTGTCAACTAAAACTCTACACCTTACTTGTGGATTACTCACGTGGTGACACCACGGAATACGGCCTATACTTCGAAGGCAACGGTGGTCAAACACGTGAAGCCTTCTTATGTCTTCTACTTTCAATAGCCACGTTTCACAGCCATACAGTAGAACAGAGCGGACTGCTGTGAAGCACACGCAATCCTTAATAGATAATCAGATATCACGGCAGTGCTACAGGTGGCGTAAGTTGGCAAAAGCCAGCCGAACCCTTTTTATCCGTGCAGAGATTTCATCGGCCACTGAGCCATAAGGGCTGATCCTACTTCCCATGTAATTGAAGTGGTTGACACACTCAACCACTACACCCTGTGTTGTTAACGGAGGCACTGTTGGAGACCAATCTTGGAGCAAAAATTTGCATTTGGGTGGTGTGAAGCGCATGGGAAACATTCTCAAATTGCCACTCAAAGTGTTCAGAAGACTGCATCTTGTCAACATCTTCATATAACAGGACTATATCATCTGCATATTCTATGTCTAAGGAAAATTCTCCTGCGATTAGGTCAACCTTTATGTAGTCAGGTGATGAGAGGGAGACCTCCATGAGAATATCTATGATAAAATTGAATTAGAATGGAGAGAGTGAGCAGCCTTGATGGACACCACTCGACGAGTACAGCTCTCTGGATATCTCACGATAGGATATAACACGCTCATAAGTGTTCGAGTAGAGAGCCTTCAATAAGGTGATGTAGTTACTGTGCACGCCTTTCAGTGAGAGACATTGTCGTAGGACTTCTGGATCAACGAAGTCGAATAACTCGTTGAGGTCGAGAAATACAACTAGTGTTGTGCGTCGGTAAGCTTGCCTATGTTCCGGAGCCTGGTGCAGTGTGTTTGGTATGGGAGTCTCAGAAAGACACCATGCATCCATGGCTCGAGTTGCCAGGGTTTTAGCCAATGGAACCTGTTGACCAATTTGACGGAGGGTGCGGATATTGAAGGCCCTGATGTGTACTTGAGTGCAGTTTAAGCAGACCAAGGATGCTGTTCTGTGGATTCAGACCTTTGTCGAAGGCTTCATAGCTAGGAGAAATTAAAGATGATGTAGTATTGTTAATTGAGGGACGTGAAGGAAGACTACAAGATAATGATAAGGGAGATGGATAGCAGTCTGACTAGACTAGAGTGGTGACAGAGTTGTGAGGGCGGTTGACACTTCCCGGTTGCCCACACCTTGGAAGGCTATTTCTTTTTAAGGTACATGAGAGAGATTTGTGTGACCGCAGAGCCCATCGGACATCTGCTTGAGGCCTGCCACATGCAGCCTTTTGCGTATGATTGTTTTGAATTTTTGTTGTTTTGGGGCCGGATGGTCGAAAAGAAACGACAAATGAAGGAACACCGTCGGCCCGGCAGACCGTGGGGTATAGTGGAGTGTGTTGTTTTTTTGGCCGACTATTTCTCACCCCCTTCCACTGAGAAGGCAGCATCAGCATGGTACTGCTGGTCATCTGAGGGAAACACCTTAATGCTGTCACATCCTATCCAGCTAGCAGCAGTACGACTTCGCCCTCAGACCCCCTATCATAGTGTAGTAATTTACACCACAACTGTAATTGTTTTTCGTCTAATCACTATCCCACAAACCTTTCTGGAATGGTAGGACGTTGAGGGAACAAGTGTTCCACCAGCATAGCTCGTTGGGTCATTGTAATATGCAAACCCGACTACTACGTCAGGGTAGCAGCTATTGATCGGTTGGTTGTGAACCTTAGTCAACCGAAGTGGCTGGATATATGCGCGCATGCTGAGCCACTGCCTACTTGGCCCGTGCCATGCCAAAGGAAGCTGGGTTAAGTTGGAAGGAGGTTCGGAGTGGCTGAAACAAGACGTGGCACCAGTCCGTGAATTCTCTCACTATTGGTGTGAAGCGTGTGAGTTGTCAACTGCTTGGTTGGGGTACGTGAGACAATAGGAATCAGTGGTTTAGATCTCTTGGTGAAATGGTTGAAAACTGGTTGCAGTGGCGCCGGTGCATTCGCTCTATGATATATTCTCAGGTTGTAATATTCGCTGTAATCTTGATCTTCAAATTGTTTATTCTCCTACACAACTTTCGCCACTTTGCTATCACCGTTATTCTATCCACCTGTATTTGTATACCACTGTGGCAACTGGAGCCGATGTACCAATGTGAGGTTCTACTTTGATTCTGTCTGTCTGACCGTCAGCACTATTTAAAAAAATATTAACTGATGCGTTTAAGATACTTGATGTACATTAGTTTCATTTACTCTGAAGTGCAGTAAATATTTTGTCAGTGACGACTAAAATGGGTGTCAGAATTGAATTCACTATTTTATTACCAAATCATTTTCTTTAACGTTAGATTAGCACATGCGATGCATGGTGTATAACTTTAGCAAGTAACATCCAACTGAATGATTAGTCTAGATGTCCTAATACATATTATTGTGTCTCACAAGTTCAGATTCACTTGACTTGTTTTGACTAAGAAAATCAGATAACGTAGTTCACCGTTTAACATCTAGACAAGGAGTTTCTCGAGTACCATCTATTCTCACTTGTTTTAAATAAACTACTTTGACTACGAATTGAACATTTAATACTCATGTTATCATCTTAACACTTATATATTTGATTTTTTAGAGAACCTGTACCAGCTAAAAAACATTTCATTATTGCAACAAATTGGCTATATCGTTATACTCAGTTATTCATAAATAACTTATTGGAATCAAGTCAACCTACATCACCATTATTATCGATAACAGCAGTATCTTCAGTAAACCAGGTTCCAAAACTGTTAATTCCGATTTTATTCCCAAGAGAATTTACTCTGCCAAAATTGTTTTGTCTAAACAGAACAAGTGGTTGCACTGGTGCGGTATCAGCTCATTCACTTTCTCCAGATGAAGTGCAAATTCGTTTCTTGATGAAGGTTTGTTTTTTTATGGTATCGGCAATGTTATACTGTGACAGATACATCGGGTATTAATTACAGTTGAATGTGCTTGAAAATTTTCACTACACCAATCTTAATCCAGTCGTCTACATTTCTTGAAGTTATGATTCACCGGTTCAACGTTTGCTTTCTTTTCAAGTAGACTTTTTTCAGAATTACGTTCCATTTACTGAGGTTTTAAAAACCGAACAGTATCTCTAGTCGTCGCACAATTAGCGTAACTCAGAGTTTAGTACGTTCTTTGTAACTTACATTGTTGCGTTTTGAGCCAGGTTGTTTCAAAGCACGTTTACCCATAATGTGCATTGTTCTAGTTTCAGAGTTTTGTTTTACAACGTTGGTCAAAATCTTGCTCACACTCAACTCCACAGGACTAGTTGTAATAACGGTCGGACAGTAGATCTATCAACGTATGCTCACTGATATATTTTCGTATTCTAATCTAGTTATATGTCTTTTTGTCACGGTGCTTTTTGGCTTCAACATTAACAGTAGAACAGGATTTCAGTATTTCGTTGTATTATATATGTATAATCTGCAATGTTCACATATGTTTCAACTGTTTATCTTCCATTATAGTTAATGTCTATTTTCGAAGTGTCCAATTATGTGACAGAGGTCCTTGATTTAGCGGAGTTTTGTTTAAATCGCTTGGCTGAATCATCACAAAATTTGGCCAGTTTGTTAGAAAATTGTTCAGATCAAGGAAGTGTCATCAAATCATCTCGTCGTTTAGCTTCAGTATTAGCCAGCTTGCGTGGAATAATCGAAAACGATGATGTGAATGGCTTCTTGTGTGAATCAAATAAACTGACAAATTTCGTAGAGTATGGCATTGGTAGTACCGGTAAGTGTTTATACACATATTGATTGATTAAATCATATGTAGGTTCTCATCATTTTATTTCTTGCCTTACGTGCCTCTGTTGTTCATGTGAGTTGTTTAAACAGACACCTCCACCTCTCGTCATGATTCACAATAGTTCTCCCTATAAATGCGATATTTTTCGAGCGTATACCAGAAACTGCGGATTCTCCGGCACCAGCTTGTATTTATGACACTTATTATGATCTGTCTTATTTGAGTAACCTAATTGCTATAATTTGCTAAACGGGTACGTCAGGTTGTGGAGTCAAGCGTGTATGAGTTTCTATGAATAGCGCTATACATAACATCACTCCCAATGGAATGAATAATGGGCTCACCGCTGAGGTTTATGCTTCTGAAATGGATCTACAGCATGGCTAGGAATTTGTAATACGAAGTAATCCTGAGATAGAACTTGAACACGTTTACCTTCTTTCTTATTTAACTTTATCATAGACGTGCTTATGGATTTGTCTCACTTTATCTAATTTAACAACAGTTAACCTTGTTGCAGGAGACTCCTTAACCGGCCTAGAGTACACAAATAGTGTAATCCTGTCAAGTGAAGATAGACTTGTGTGTCATAGAATTATCACATTGGTAATACCGAGTTAGACTTAGAGTTTCAAGAAAAAGTTAATCAGATAGAGGAAATCAACATAGAATATCGCACACAAGCATATCAATTCAAGTTGCCACACTTCAAAAAAGCATGCAAAGAATAAGTCGGTTGAAAAAGACTGATGCCGAAAAAGACAAAGTAAAGGCCAAGTCATTTCAAGATAAAGGTTAGTGAAAATATTCAAGCTCTAGGAAGTATCAAAAAGTGAGTAGATTTGCGTCAATGTGACCGATTCCCAACCATTTTACCAAGAGTCCCCAACATTTGATTCGTATGGTCTCGGAGGCTCCAGTCAGCTAGTCTACACATCCTTACACAGTTCAGACCAACAGTCAGAAACTGCATGCAGTGGTGTCATGTCTTTGCCTGATCACATTGAGCCTTCTTCCAATCCAATCCATCTCTTTTAGCATCTGTCATCATGGTAAGCGGTAGTTTGGGATGCATAACACATTTCCAAGCCACCTCAGTTGGTGTAGGTTGGCAACCTCATGCGCCGACTTTCCTTTCTTATTCAGTACCTTTTGCCTAGTCTCCATAATGTTCCCATGATGATTCTCACCATAAGTGATCAACGCTACGAAAACAGCTGTTGTCAAAAACATGCAGTCTCTTCATATTTTCTACTTTCAGTAGTGATGTCTCACAACTGTATAACTGGACAGAACGTATTGCAGTGCATTTTGCTCTTCATTTAATAGCTAATCGGATATCTCACCAGTCGGCGCCATAGATGACGGAAGTTGGGAAATATCAAATGGGCCTTTTGTATCCGGTCTGATATTTTGTCAGCAACTAGCCCATGTCCGGTCAATGCAACCTTCTGAATGAGTAAAATTGACGATGCATCCAGCTACTCCATTGCGTATCATTAAACTAGTAGTATTTGCAGACCTATCCTAAAGCATCATCTCATTTAACAGGTGCGACACGGATGCTAAAAATACTCAAGTTTCTACTGAACGCTTTCAGAAGACCCTGCTTCTTGTTAACTTCTTCATCTGGCAGGATAATATTGTTGGCATGTTCCAAGTCAGTCATATGAGCTGCAGGGAGTAGGTTATTCTCTGTGATGTTATACGTACCTAAGGTTATGTTCATTAGTGCGTCTATGACGAAGTGGAACAAGAATGGTGACCGTGGGCATCCCTGACGAATACCGGTAGGTAGGTCAGTTGATGAAGGTTTAAATGTTTGTCTACTCAGGTAGCTGGGATACATGTGATGCATGTGTAGTCATTGTCAGCGTTGTCGTGCAGTGCTATCTGAATTAGGTTTAAGTCGGAAAGTGTTAAAGGTTGTGAGTAAAAAATACATGGCATCAATCCATAAAATCGCAGATTGTTGGTCTTAACCATATTAGGGTCTACGCGGCAATCGAAACCGATGGTTGGAGACTCTGGATACTGTGGTTCAAAATCGTTTTGAGTAGTGCACATGTATGCACATCAACTTTATCTTAATCTTCATATCGTCTTTTCAATTTTATTACTCCGTTTCCTTATAACTTTATGCTTCCTTTGACTACCTCCCTCCTTATTTCTGTATTTCTCATCTTATAGCCGTGTAACTTGACATGTGAGGTGTGACAACATGAACTGTTTCGCAGTATTACTAGTTCTTATGTTTATGTTGACTGACTGAGCGATCTGTACCTCTCATACGCAACCCAATTAGCTTTTCAGTGAACCTTTATTGACGAAGGGTTTGTAACAAGTTGAAAACTCTCACTCATTTCTTATTCATAGCATTGATCTCTGACATGCCAAAAAATAACTGTAAAACTGAAGAAAACATTCCTTAGAAATGGATATATTTATATAAATCACCTTTCTCCATGTGACAACTGTGAAACTGAATTCTCGACAATCATTCACAAGTGTTAATTATTCTGACACTTATCGTTTGTTACCTATTGATTTCACTGATGTCCTTCTCAGCAACTTATATGGTTGCTTTTTTCCATGCAAATGTGTTTCTCAGTTGGAAAAAGTGAACGGCAAAATCTGACTACAGACTCAGGGTGCGAACGTATGATGCTCAACAATATTTTATATCTCCGTAGTTCTGTACATTGGCGGAACACTTAGTCTAATAACAAGGGTTACTAGCAGACAATATGATGAGGTTTTAAGTCTCTACATATTGTTCAGCTGATATGATATTCTGCTATTCATTCGTGAATTTATTTAGTCGCTAAAGCTCTGGTCAGTTTATTTTTTATTGTTAAGATTATTTATTTTTGGTCATACTCAATTCATCCAATTAACGACGTAGTAACAGACCAACTGTTCGTAAATGTTAACTTATTTCTGGTTCTATCCTTAAGTGTGTTGTATGAGTATCAACTAGGAAATTCTTATGTAGTACCTTCTTTTTCTAGCTGACGAAGCTCAGTCAGGAATTCGCGCACGTTTGGCTGATTTAGAAGCTGCTCTATGGACACGGATGTTTAAGCATGAACTGGCTCTCGGACATTATACTAAAGCTTATATGATTCTGCGAAGTAATCCAGATGTTGCTAGGTTAGTTTTTTTAATCTATGCATTCCAAATTTCGTTACAGAAATTATCCGTCAAAGAAAGTCAATCTGTCTGTAGCAATCTATTAAGGCATCATTTTGACGTTCCGTTACGTTTACACTAATCATAAATTACTGAGAAAGGACTAGTCATCAATTAATCCGTAATGCTTTTCTTATGGTGATTAATGGTAGTTTTCAAATCTGGTTTAAGTCAACTTCCTAGTGGATTTATCAATCAGTGATTACTGTTCGGCTATATCATCTAATGAATAATGTTTGAATTTACAACAACGAATAGTTGTGTGAATGCTTGAAATCCCAAAGTTATGGATATGTAAAGCTTATACTATTTGTATTGATATACACAGTGTACAGTGGGGTGGAGATGAAGCGGATGTAAAACATAAGTTGATAGACTATGAGAAATTATCAGATTACAAAACCATTGGGTACTAGACTAAACGGTAGACTTTTTAGCTTTTATAAGAATAACAGAAGTAAGTGGTTAAAGGTATCAGGTGAGATTACTGGAAGTTGATGCGACGTACGTAAAGAAGTACTTATTAATTATACTGCCTTGAACGTTGATTGTTATAATAGTTTATTTTTACTCTTTATGGTAATTTTAGCTGATTTTGTTTGATGAATTTTCACAATAAATAAATAATTTTATTCTCAAATTATGAGAGAAGCCGGTTTATATACATCATCAAATTGGTAGTGGTAGAGAAATCTACAATATTTGGCCTGTCCTGAATTGTGCAGAAGGGAGGACAATAAACTCGATCACAATGTCAAAAGTGTCTGCATGTTATGAAAAGAACAGGAAAACATCACTTTACAGTACACACTCACATTGTTTATGAGTTAAGATCATTTCGACTCGCCATTCTTTTTTCACACTAAAGTGGCATCAAAGCCGCTCAATAGTTCGATGTTGGCGTTACAAGTGACTGACGTTTTTGACCCGTCTGTATAGTTCATTGTTTCGTTAGATAAACACCTATTTTAACATCAATTCACATGTCTATAGCTTCATTAACTAACAAGAACTCACTTCAACGATTTCAGGTATCAGTAAATGTCCACATAATCATGTAACCCACTTGAATATCTGAGTTCAAGCATTTCCCACTCGTCGTGTTACCGTACACAGCAATATAGATGTAAACCATTAGGATTAGTTGCTGTGGTACAAAGAAATAAACATTAGAAGGACTGTTGTTCAATGGTGATTGGTTTTTATATAGAATTCACATGGAAGTATGCATTATTATCAAGGGGGTATGTTGACTGTTAATTCTGTTTCTTTTATATGGAGTCAAATGAGATAAATTACTAGAGAAGTCTGTTGCGTAAGTCTGTAACGAATATGTTACATTTATAGTCATTAGGTGAATTGATCTCTTAGATTTAATTCTTTGACCATATTTTCCCTGCCATTATGACCATCTAGAAATTTTAAATCAGTTATTGTTGTTGAGGTTTCATATGTGGTAGCATTTAGGCTGTTGCTAAGCAGGTAAGTTTACTGTGAAACTTTTCCAAAAGTCGGAAAATGTTGGGGCAAACCAGTCGGAGAATTCTTTGAATAACTTCTAATATCACTTACGAAGTAATAATTTCAGTAAATTGATATTTTTTTTGGGTCAAAATTATACTTTTCATTTCAAGCTTGTGCTGAAGACAGAAGAAAAACGCATAGTAGCTTTCGCCAGCATTACTAGGCTCGACATTGTTTGTTTACACGATTATTCGTAATAACAGTGTAGTTGTGCGAAAATAGTGGGCTACTCCTATTGAACTTGTTGGTGAGTATTGAAGTCACAGATGTGTTTAGTTTGAGGATTGTTGATAAGATCGTAGATTAATTGAGTGTACGGATGTGACACAACTGATAACCGCTGTGTATATAGACCGTTGTGCAAAAACGTCATGTGAGTGGTGAGTAACTGCAATACATCAGAATCCTCGCGCACTTTTCACTAACAGTAGATTTTAGCTGTAGACCACAATTTGTATATGATTGTTATGTAAAACTATGCAAACAAGATATTATTTGCGTACAGAAATCTTTTGAGGACAATAATTATTGTACAGGCGAATGTTATTTTAATGTTTAGTTTACTGGAAACTAGATTGTCGTGGTTGAATCAATTACTTTATTCATTACTTTGATAACTATTTACTCATTGCAGTCGAGTAGTAACTGTCCCAATAGTACAACTGGGAAAATATCAGAACAAAGAATACCTAGATGATTGTGGGCATTATTTTCCCCATTGAAATAAACAGTTACTCGTGTACATACGATGTGGCTTAGATGTCATAACCGTTAACTATTCATTATCACATAACAAGTAGTAGACCAAGGGTAATACAAAGGTTAGTAGACAGCTAATAAATTCTTGCTAATGAGTGTATGTCTACATTTCTGCCGTATATGACAATATTTATGGAAGAATTTTTCTATTTCTTTTTCAAAGACGTCGAGATTGTTTACGTCAGTTAGTGGTCACTGTGTGCGATCGAGGTGAAGCATCCAAGTTAGTTTCCTTCCACTACGGACCAATGGAGAATGAGGTGAGCAAAAATACTAGGGAAGTAGCTTACTAGTTTTGTAAATAATAATCCCCATTAAGTTCAGAGAAAATAATTTATTTTTCGATTTAAAAACAGTTTTGAGTTTTAAGAACTGTTTTTTTGCTAGTACTGTGTTATTGTTGACTAAGATGATGGTTTAGAGTTCAGTGTGGAGGCGTCATACATGTACTAAGAAATAATAATTGTGGTGGTCGTAAGGATACAATTAAACTAGAAATCAGTAACTTAGCTAGTTATTTCAAATCTACGCTATGCATTTGGAATAATGATTGAGGGCTCTTGGCAACATAGCTGAGAATCGGTTACATTGGTGCAAAGGTATTCACTCTTGGAAAGTGTGAAACTTTTCATTGACCCTCGGATGCACGTTGTCTACTTTGATATCGCTCTTTTTCTATTCAGTTGTTTACATTCTGCTGTAAGTTGTTGTAACTTTAACTGACCTACTGGTATGCGAAGTTCTACTTTGGTTTGTTTATCTGACATATTTGGATCCAAACTCAAAATGTGTTTGTTTGACAACCTGATACATGGATATCTTTAGGTATTGAATTAAGGCGCGCACTTTTGGAATAAATTTACCAGTATGATGTTTGTTTGTGCCCTTCTTCTCCAAATTTCGATCGATCTGTGTATGTAATGACTGAAAATCAACCTCAAAGTCATATAGTATGATAGCCATCTAACCAACATTTTAGCAAAGTAAAGTGTTACTGTATTATTGGTAACTTGCATATGACTACCTATTCTCGCATCATTCAGTCAGCGATGATGAAAAAAAGAGTTTTCTTGTTGTAAAATTCCACTGAACGTTTTTCTTTCCTTCCTCTGTTGAACCAGTTATGTCTTTAATTTTCAGTTCCTTGCTATTTTGGAAGCAAAAGCCCGTGCTACTGATGTTGTTATACTGCCCGATGCATCGAATGAAAAATGCACCTTTCCTGGTTCAAATCCCTACTATGATGTCTTATATTCCTACCACATTCATCGAGCTGATTATCGTGCAGCTGCTTCGGTGATGTTTGAACATTCCTGCCGATTAATAGAGGACACTATGCTGGCTGCATCCCGAGTAAATAGTTTCCGTTCTGGTGGTGCGCGTATTTTAGTTGGATTACAACGTCAAGCTGCATGTCTTGCTGCTGCTATAAATGCACTTTATTTAGTCCCCAAAGATAACCAATGGCTTGTTTCCGTTGGTTTCGCTCATGAAGGTGTCGTTTTGGATGAGAATGTGGTGGAAACGGAATCAGAAAGTCTGGTAATGTCTCAGTCGTTTACTCTAAGCATTTCAGTAACAGTTTTCTCGTGTACTTTGTTGTTGTGTACGGTTTAGGTACACAATAAATCCCAGGAGTAATAGAATTAAGTATGATCTCATATAAAATCCAGAACCGTATGTCGCTTGTCGTGATTTTTGATAAGGTTTAAACATGGTAAATACTAATTCAGTCTGGTAGTAGGAACATGTATTTTAGTTGGTTTTTATACTATATTCACATACAAGTATCTTTTCGAGGTATAACAATGTTCCTTTCATCTTTTCTCCAAAGTAATACTCAGTCAGTGACTTGTATGTTCTGTGCATGCACTCAGCTACCTTGTGCACATTCGCACAGTAGGAAACGAGTCACATCTATTGTATGAGGGCTACTGATACCACTTGGCTGCCCATACCTCGGTAGGTGGAGTGGGGTTGGGACCCGCGACCTAATGGTTGTAGCCATCTTGCTAAACCACTGAGGCACAGCTCTACAATTTGTATGTTTCATTTGAAGAGGGGTCTACCCATCATTTATTTGATACCTGAAATTTGATATGAATCGGGGAGCTAACTCTTCAAACAGAACAGAAATAAATGTCAGTAGAAATGGATCAGAAGATAGTTAAACAGATAGTCATAAGTATCCAAGTACTGCCTCAGAATAATTACGTGTCGCTTTCAGTTCCTGTATTTCGCATCAACATTAAGACGAAGAAATCAACTGTACGAATTTTAAAGGAATGAAAGAAATGCTGTCAATTGGATTGAATGCATCATGAGAAGTAGGTAACAGAAACAGTCATGTGTAAAATATAATAAGATATAGTGCTAGGTTTTTGAAGTCAATCGGCAAGAAGTCCGTATAGGCTCTTAACATCGATCATCACTAAGTTGTGCCAATTATCATCTTAATGACTACATTGCGAACTTCATTTGTCAACTTCAATAAGGACCATGGGGTTGACAACTAGGTCAGTTCTCATCCATTGGTCAGTTTGTGTAATTAATGGGTTTGTCAGGATTTAGGTAGTGATAAGAGATTGCCTTTTGATTCTGTGAAGAAACGTATCTCATGCGCCACAAACCATTGATATCGATTGTCTCACAAACGAGCACGAATACATTTTACACACATACAGTTCAGACTAGCAAGTAGATACTTCATGAAATAGCCTGGGATTTCTTTCACACTACGACTACCGCTACCAAAATTATGCCTTAAAGTGGTCGGTGGCTGGAGTTGCCTATCACATGACGATGACAGTGCATAGTCTCAACACAAAGTTACTGCAATAATCAAGAACGTGAGGATAGTTATTTAATGGAATAAAAATCCTGGTAGTTTCAGAAAGTAATCGATTTTTCATTTGAACTTGAATATCTGCGTTTAAATAAGCCATCAATTTGTTCTTTTAATTTATGGATTTTGGATCATAACCTATATTTTCCATATGCCTACACTTTAAGAAAAACTGGTGAAATTTTATTTACTATGTTTAGTGGAATTTCTTTCATATTAACCCTCAGGTTATATAGACAATGTCATCATAATCAGTTCAACTATGCTGCATTGTTATATTTGTAAACGAAAAACTGAACTAGGCATATATGTCACTAGGAGAAGTGGTTAGCTTTTATTAAATAAGACGATTAAATCATTGTTATCTTTATCAAATGACAAAAGAAAAAAGTGGTGTGATAAAATCTGGTGAATAATGAAGTCTCTTTGACTTTCAGTTTGAATTCAATTGTGCAGCTGCTGAGGATGATATTGCCGAAAACAATTTTCTTCATTGAAATGTTCTTATTTTCAGTTTGAGTTTTCAGAAGTCCATGTAGGTTATTGCAGTGTGTAGGAGTACTAGAAGTTGAAGTCGAAGTATACTCCGCAACTTTTTACACATTCGTGCAGTAGATAATGAGCCACGTATATTATGTGAGGGTTAATGATACTACCTAACTGCCCAAACCCGTTAGGTGGAGCGATGTTCGAACCCATGACCCATAAACCGATTCGCCACAGCAGAATACTGTTTATCTATGGGCAAACAAAGGTGTTTGCTTATCGCTTTATTCATGTAGTATATATAAACTGAGTACCTGGAGAACATATCTTATGATAACTGAATCCTTTTAGCGTTTTAAGCAGTAAATCGTTATTGTGTCTAAATGTTGAAAGCTAACATTTGATTAGATTAACTTTTATCCCTTTAATTATGGGTCTCTTTAATTTTTTACAGGATCATAACGATGACTGGGCTTTCGCTAATCCGGATGACGTTGCGGTAGATATTATCGAAGAAGAGGCTAAAAGTAATGGCCAGCTAGTCGACAACTCACCTCAACATGAGGTTACGAAACGTGGTGCTATAAATGATTCATCTCCACAGGAAATTGGGAAGGATAAGCGTATACTTACACTGAAAGACTTATTGAATGTTTATTCATTAGCACGTGCGAGACTTCGACTTGCTCAAGCCTGTTGGGAACAAGGGATGTTAAGAGCTGGAACTTTTTCACCGGATGAAGTTGTTCAAGGGCTGTTGTCTGTTGCACTTTACGATGTGAGTGTGAATTTTGTTGTCTGTTAACTTTACGTGAAAAATGATAAACTTCTAAATATTCTTCAGTTTTTCTAACACATCGTATGTTCCCGAATAGAAAAAATCTGCAGTTCATGAACATATGACACATACTCTATATTCTTCCCATCTACACATGCTAACATAAATATATAATTCATGAAATAGAAGGTATCTGGTTGGTTTCCTATTCAAAATTGTTACAGCAGTCATCTGTCATTAGTAAACATTTAAACTTTGTTTTCGATACTAGAGTTGGATTTCTATGCTATTGGAGAGCATTTAAACTACTTAGCTGAGTATAGACGTAATAGCATATCCAAAAGCCATTATGTAGTTGATTGCACTGTCTTGCCTTACTTACTTGCATACTTAGTAGTCAGATCTACATCGAGAAAGGGTTTTAAAAGCTTTGAGATTTTCAGTTAACATGAGAAAAGTGGCCGACATCACATACCAAAATGGTTGATCAACCGTGAATTTTCTGAGTAGTTTCTTATCTGTATGGTCAGGGAAGTTATTAGTAGTTTGTCAAAATACTCTTAGTGATTACAGATGCTTTATTGCAGGTTTGCTGAGGTTTGCAGTTTTATTCTTTGGAGTCATACAGGAATCAGTGTTTCAAGCGCTAACAAAAATAAGTGCGTGAAACTCGTGTAATGCGTTCTTTGAGTTTTGTGGCTTTGTTGTTGAAATGTTCCAGAACTAAATCAAACTTTCTCGTTTTTTCAGCGTCTTCATCTAAGAAGATATTGTTTGCTTTCTATCAGTTAACCAGATACCGTTTACGATACGTCAATCCGTAATAAGTTGAAGATACCTTGGAGCACTTATATCAGTACATGTATAATAAAGATTAAAATTATGACGTTGGGATTGCTGGTGTACGTCTGTGGTTTTTGTTACCTCAAGCGACATTTACACAATGCATGAGTTCGAGCACATAACCTTGTTGAGCGGAATATATATGTTCGGTATTCAATCCACATTCTGACTCTTCCACAACACCTCAATCGATGATACTAAACGCCACATTCCAGTCAAGAAATATAACAAGTTTCGGGCGCTGGCAAGCATGTATATACTTCAGAACCTGCTAATAAGTGAAGACCTGGTCAGTTTGCAGTTAGGTGTCGGATGAGTATGATCCCCAAGATCTTGGACATGATCTTAGTCAATCTGGTTCCCTTGTGGTTGGTACAAGGAGAATTCTCTCCTTTCTTATAAATTAAAATTATTAACGATCTGTGCTAGTGTGATGCAACTACTCTTGACCCACTAGCTAGTACCTCATTCACTCTAACCAGCACGAATTCACTACTTCTAAAGATTACTAGAATCGACCCCTCAGGTTCTGCTGCTACTTGTTTAAGGTTTGAAACAGCCATTTCAACTTTTATAAGAGTTTTAGTACCCATGCATGTAACCTATTCAATATAGTGCTGAATGTTCGATAGCGGAAGCATGACCATAGAACTGTCGCAAAGAGAGTCCCATTCGCCTATACTGAGGAGTTATCAGAGACCTTGGTTGGATTATATCATTATATTTTACTTCCTCCCTAATCATTAACTGGTCATTTCTGTTCTTTTTATTCTTTACTCTTCTAAATTGTCATTTTGTATGACAACTTCAATTGACGTGTTTACGTATTTTGCGTTATTCTCTTTGTTATTACTCAAGGAGAGCAGACTTTTCTTATTCTTAACTCTTCCTTGCTTTTTTCTTCAGGAAGCCGTTCGTCTGTCCGAATCCTACCAACTTGATCCAACACCAATCATTTACAGTATAAGTTTACGTTGTAGTGAACTTGCTCAATGTGCAGCTCTCGGTGGGAGTTTCAATACTGTGGACTTTTCACAAGCTGCAGTTGGTCAGGAACTTCATCGAAAAGACATGTATAGTGTACATCGTACTGTTTCTGGTGCCTCAACTGGCTATAATCAATTTCCTATACTACCAGGTTTATCAAATGATTCATCCCCTGTGGAACACGAAGTTGATCTTGTCCAGCAATCATTATCTAGTTTGGTTACATTGAATTTAGATAAGAATAAAAATTGTGTGGTTGATGGCTCAACTGAAAGATCTGCCAACCTGAAAAGTGATCTTCATTGTTCTAACTATAGTAATTCTGCGTAAGATCATTTGTTTTCTGCATAAAAATATTTCTGTAGTGTTAACTGTGATATGATCATTAATTTATATTGCAGGAATATCGACTATAAAGCAGTGAATGGTGTACTACGTTTTATTGAACTCTATTTAGTCATAGTTGGTGGAGAAGGTGACCGCTGAATTTATACTGTATATTAACTCAACCAAAGTAGTTGAGAAATACGTTACTTCTCTTGTATAATCCATGAAAATGAATTGATGAAATGGTATCAAAATACGTTGCATGCTATAGGGAAATGTCATCACTAATGAGCATCTAAGGTGAATAAGAACTGATACTGATTACTATGGTATACTTTAGCTAGGAGAATCCGAAGTCAACGAGCATGCTTAGTTACCTGGATACCATACCTGTAGTTAGCACAAATATGTGTGCAACAAATTGATGTGTAACATTTAACTTGAGGATTTCAGCTCATTGGAGAGTACTCATTCCTAAAATGTTTGTAATCTATGGCTAAACATTTGCTCATCTCCACCTTGTTTTCAAGGATTGTTCGTCTATTGAAAGTTACTTTCATATAATTGAATATAATCTGTTTCGAACAGACCCTTGCATATTTCTAATAGGAAGTTGAGACAAGTTTTTTGGTCTTGTGAAAGCAACAATTGTGCCATGAAGTTATTGGACGGAATTTTAAAAGTCCCAACCCCATGTATTGTGATTCTGGGAGTGAATGTGAACATATCTTGACATCCGACTAATATTAGTGAGCTTCAGGTTGGAAATGTGGTTGAGAAGTAGCGAACTAGACTTTTAATACTTGTTGGTTTCAGTCGTGGTAATTAATAACCACGTAGAGCTTTTTATTGTAAGGAACTCCCATTACTATACCAAATTGCATCTCATCTTAATTTGTTGAAGTTATTTTGCTATTTCACTAAATGTTTACAAGTTTTCATTTCAGTATCACTCACCATTGAATAAGGCATAGATATTCAAACGGAGTCATTTTTTGATATCTTTGTGAAAACTGACTATGCAATAGTTTAAATATCCTCTTTTTACCCTATGTTAAGTTGAACATTTCACTGTGTAGAAGTATAGTAAAGTATCATGTTTAATGCCTTGATATGGGTTTATTCCGTGAACTGAGATCTGCTTTTTTATGCAAGCGTGTTAAATGTGCTAATGGCATATTTTGTTGCTTGAAGTTTGTGTTTGTTTCTTCCAATAATCTACTTTTTAACAAATTCAATCCATCTTGAATTCACTTTAATCTTTTCGCTTGTAACGTTTCCATTTTTAGTCGATGCAACTTGCCAGGGTTGTATTGGCGTCTTCTAGAAGCAGTTCTAACACGTTTAGATCCACCGTATCCCAATGAAAAACAAATTGGATTCAAATCACAATTTCATGGACTCCTGCATTTAGTCGCTTGTGAAAATATACTCAGTTCACGTCCTAATCAATTATATTTACCTGAGTGGTTAACTTCACGTCTGTTATCGACATCTTGCGCGACGGAACGAACTGTTAGCCTTTTAAGACTCTATCTAAAGTATAATCGTTTGGAAACAGCTTATCGTCTTGCAACGGATATGCTTGCAACAGCTGTGGGTAATGGTGCAGATCCTTCGTCTTTCGGTTTACGAGTAAGTGTTTATATATGTAACTCAAGGTGTCTACACATTATCATTATTATTATTATTATTATTATTATTATTATTATTATTATTATTATTATTATGGTATACAGTTGAAGCTCTTGTCGGTTATCTGACTTAGTAATTAGGTAGTGTGTCAAATTTCTTGTGTTTTTTTCCATACTGAAGCAGTAACTGCCTAATTTATGCTATCTATGTTCTTGATCAGATTGTAGCGTTTAAGCTAAATGGCTTGAGTTACTTGACTCTTGTTAGATTGAAAGCACAATTGTACATGCGAACTGAAAACTGATTAATCTATAAACTGACTTCATTGATTAGTAGGCATGTTTAGCTGCAGTTTATTCACAACATCCCATATTTTTTGTTTCCACTTATTACCTAGTTATCTTTGCAATCAACGAAATCTAACAGTAAGCTGTTCAAACTCACTGGAGTACTCTTATGGAGTGTACCTGAACACCTGAATAGTTTGGGAAAATGAAGTTTATTACGGAATTGCTGTTACCGAGTCTTTAGCTTTAGAGCTGCGACTCTGTGGCTTACGGAGATGACTATCAACCAGTGAGCCATGGGCTCGAGCCCCGCCCCACCCACCAAGATTTTGGCAGCTAGGTAGTATCACTAGCCCTCACATGATTGGTGTGGCTCATCGCCTACTGCATGGATGTGCACAAGGTAGTTGAGTGCGTTTCGTTCTCTCTAAATTTAGTTTTGAAAATGGTTATCCAATATTTTAGGTGGAGACGTCAGAGTATATTGATTTTATTGGAACTAATTTTATTCAAGGTAGAGTTGTGTAGTAGGAAATAGGAAATATAAGTAATAGAAAATATTTATTCATTAAATATCATTTCACATGTTTTGTGCACTACTGAGCGTTAACTTAAGTTATCGCTTTCTCTATACTTCATTTCAGTCTACACTACCCCAGTCAATGAAATTCAATCAGGCTTTGTGTAACGTAATACGAAAAAAGAATAAAACCATGTTATCCGGTGCAATGTATCTTCCACATACTCTATTTGTACAGATACTGAATGCCTTAGAGATGTTATCGTCTCAGTCGAAGACATTTAAAACTGTAAGTTTTTACTGATATTCTTTCATTATTTTACTATGATTTCACCAGAAAGAATTCCTTCATTCTGGATTGTCGGTGTTCTGTTTTCTTCATTGCTATGATATGATATGACGTTCAGTCTTACACATCAATCCCTAATTTGTCTATTTCGTTAGACTAATGCAATCGACTAATGTTAAGATGTGCAGATGTGATATTGATGAATTCCCTCGGAAGGAAGATTAATCCATCACAATAAAGTTTTTACTGATCATCTCGCATGTGGAGCAAAATTATTTTCAGCGGGAGGAATTTACTGTCTAGCTCCGGAACTATTCAGCGTTTAGAATGAACATTTGGATTGCATTTCTCATCACTGTGATCACTAATTATTAAATTATGAAAACTATCCGATGCTTTAAACTGAATGTTTGTTAATACGACTGTGCATCAGTGAAGTATCACAAGTGGTGTCTTCTCATTACTTAAACATGAAGTGTGATTATGGAAATGTAAAGATGAAAGTCATCGAATGATCATAGTTAAAATAACCCCACAAACTCCAGTGACAAAATTCACTTTATTGGTGTATACTTAACACTAGGGTGAACGTAGCCGATTCAGTACTACTCACCATAACTACTGATTCACTGTACTGAAGTTGTAATCGTCTTCAAAATGTAATTACTCATTAAATGTTTATAACTATGTTCACATTTAAAGTGGAACCTAGTGCTAGGTTGTTACCCACTAGACTGTTGAGTTATGACAGTGATCTCTTGTGCAATGAATATCACATGTGATATTGTTATTATTATTTGTCCCTAGGGTTCCTAGTGGAACATAGGGCTTCAGTAGCACGTCTCCATTTCACTCTGTTCTCTTCAGTCTTTTCAACCTGGCTCCACGGCTGCCCAGGAGCTTTCATTTCTTCTTCACATCATCTCCTCCATGTCACCCTCGCCTCGGATGCTCAACTCATCGTTCCCCATCTGGGCTCCGCTCGAGGGTCTGGTCTGGCGCGTGATGTCCCCAGTCGGTCTTCTCATTGTATGGCCAATCCAATCCATGTCCACTTTCTTCTTCTGCATATTTGTTGTGCGATGGGTTGTTGGTTGGTTCGTTGCCAGCTAGAGTTCCTTGTTGCTTATTCTTATTATTCTGGCCATCTGATCTTGAGTATCGAGTGGACGTAGGCGGTAGCTGTTGATGTATGTCTGAAGTTTTTTGGAAATGCTTTTCGTAACGCCCCAAGTCTCTGACTTATATAAAAGCACAAACTTGATGTTGGTGATGAAAATCTGGATGTTCTTTGTGCTGAGTGCAGTAGATCTCCACACTGATTTCAGGTTAATGAAGGCCTGTCTTGCTTTACCGATCCTAGTTTGACATCCTCATCTGTGCCTGTGCCCCTAGTAGTTGAAACGATGCTGCCTAGGTAGGTGGGTAGGTGAAAGAGGCTACTTTCTTTAGATTTCTCTCCTTGATGGTGATTGGCACTTGTTGTCGATGTTGTTGTTGGTTGGGTATCTTGATCACCTCTGTTTTCTCTACATTCACTCGAAGTCTCGTCTTCGCTGCCTCTTCTGTTAACTTGTTGGATTTTGCCTGTAGATCTTCGAGTTTGTGTGACATTAGACATAAATCATCATCGGTGAAATCCAAATCTTCTAGGGTCTTTTCATCTGTGAAACAGCGTATGCCCATCTTCCCACTCCACACAATGTCTTGCATGATCCAATTCAGTCGATTCGACCACAATCAGGAAAATCATCGTTGGTGGTAGGCAGCCTTGTCTTACTCCTGTCTTCACTTCAAAGGCGTCGCTGAGCTTTCCATTGTGGATCACTTGGCATGTGGCTTCTTCATATAGCTGTTGAATGAGGTTGATAAAGACTAGTGGCGCTCCGTGGTGTTGAAGCAGCTGCCTGCAAATTGCTTCTCGGTCGACTCTGTTGAAGGCTTTTTCAAAGTCGACGAAGTTGAGGTAGACAGTTGACTGCCAATCTATACTCTGTTCAATGATGATGCGTAGTGTAGCGTTGCAATTTGATCCGCACATGATTTGTTCTTCCTGGAGCTATCCAGCCTGTTCCGGTCGTAATTTTGAATCCAGCGCATCCTTTAGTCTCTCCAGGATGATGCAGCATAATATTTTGCTTAGTGTGGACAGTGGTGCAGCATGATTCCGTGCCAGTTCTTGCAAAGACGTTGGTCCTCCTTCTCTGGGGGTTTGACAAAGTAGCTCTTCTTCCAATCTGCAGGTATCTTTCCTTCCTTCCAGACCTTCTGCAGTATTGATGTGGACATATCCGCTGTTGTCTCTGCGTCCGTTTTCAGTGCCTTTGGCGGAATTCCATCTAGTCCTGCTACTTTCCCGGATTTCAGCAACTTTATTGCGTTCAGTACTTCTGCTTTTGTCGGAGGGCTTGTGTTAACTGGTAGTTTTGTGGCTGGGCTGCTGGTGGTATTTCTGGACGAGTTGCAGGTGATGGTGGTGGTGGTCGATTCAAGAGCTTTTGAAGTGGTCAGTCCATCATTTCCTTTGTTTCTCTTCTTTAATAATTAGATTTCCTTCGTCATCTTTTATTGGTTTCATCTGCGTTGATCTCTTCCCAGATAGTAATCTAGTTATTTGATATGATGTTTTCAGCTCTCTCCTTCTAGCAACATGTTCTGATTCACTTGGCAGTGGGTCGTAGAAGCATGTTTTGTCTTTCCTTGCACTCTTCTTCACTTTTTGTCCAGTATTTTATACATTGTCCTCAGTTCTTCTTTTCGTTGTTCTTCCCTATGCCACACTGTTTCATCTTCACCATCAGGAGCTTCCTCTCCTCCATCAGCTTCCATGTGTCCGTCGAAATCCATTCATTGTCCTATTTTTTCTTTCTCCCTAACACGGTTATGCAGGTTTCTTTCCACATAGCTTTCAAAGAGTCCCAGTATTCTTCCACACAGTTTTCTTCAGGGATGTTGCTCAATATCTCCTATTTTGTCCTGATAGCTGACTGACGTGAAGATATCCTTTGAAGTTTCGTCCTTCAGTTTCTGTTCTATGCATTGAACTTGAACTGTGGTCTACCACCAACTTCTTGGAAGGCTTTCAACTTGATTTTAAAGCTAGGTTCCTTGCACTAGATAGTGAGTGGTTTGAACCACGTACATCTGCTCCTCTTCTTGATCTTGTGTCAAGTAGGCTGCGTCTCACTTTCTTCAGATTGAGATGAAATCGATCTTATTTTTAGTGTAGTGTGTCCATCTCGTCAAGTCCATATCGCTTTGTCCTCCAATCACCAAATCGTTGAATGCGCGGAAGTCTGCAAATAGTTCTGTATTCTCGTTCATTTGGTCGAGTGCTTCTCGACTCATGATGAGTTCTCTTCCTGTGTTGTCTGCTCCGAGTTTGGCATTCATATCACCTCACCCATTAGAATTTTGATGTCGCCATTGCCAACTGGAATCTTGTCTAGTACTGATTGCAGTTCGGTATGGAGTTCCTCCTTCTTCTCATGATCTGCATTATTTGTAGGTGCATGGCGTAGCATTGAATGACTGTGACTTTCCTTTCTTTTGAGTTGAATATTGCTGTCATGATCCTGGAGGAGGTTGGTTTCCAGTGCATGAGAGCCCACAATGTTTTCAGAGACATCATGATAGCCCCTCCGAAACTCAGTGTGCTCGTAGTTGTCATCTGGGTGATAATATCGGAGAATATTATTGACTCTGTATTTGATAATTTGGAGAGTGCAGTTCAATTCCATCGGCATATTCCTAGCACTTCTATGTCATACCTTCTCATCTCTTTGGCAATCTGGGCGGGCTTGCTAGGTTCAAACATGATGCGGACATTCAATGTCCCCATGTTTACTTTTGCTTTCATCGAGAGAATACACATCGGTCAATTGGCTTCCCGAAGGCTTTCATCAACCGGCATCATTTCGTGTCTCCGATCCTAGCGAGGAAGAAGCTTGTTTTTATTTTTTATATTTTCTTTGTGCTTTGAAGTTTCTTTAGCGATTGAATTGGTTTTCCGGTTTAAGGTTACTAGTTCTATGCCTAGCCTTTCCTCTTTATTCGGGCTTAGGACCGGCTAGTAACTAGTGAACTAGTTAACCAGGCGAGGTTCCACATGTTATATACTTTTTTTCTGGGTTTGAATCTTAACAGAAACATTAATCATTTGGATCCATATCCATATAGTTCTTTTTCTGTCATACTGAATGAAGTACAAATGCTGTATTCTAACAATGGCCACCAATATCAACCACCAAAGTGACATCAGAATAATAATTTTTGAAGCATTTTCAAATTGGTCAGGTTTATTTGATGGTTGAAAGTTTCATGATCTTGCTTGGAAATTTACTCATGCTTTTGTTTGGAGTTCAAACAGTCGTTTTGATTATAGTAAAGATTGATGACGACTACCAGTAGAACCCAGGATGCGCATCTCCTCCTATTTGGGACTCGTCAGCTGGATGTACCTGCCCCCCAGTGAGTGGTGCTGTTATCACCAGGATTCACACTCTGGAGCGATCGCTTCAAACGCCAGAGCGTTATCCACTACACCACCGAGCCACGATAGTCACTTCTCGTGCGACGTGTATAGTTTTAGTATAATTGTTTTTATATCATACCGTCGTTGATTGGACCTAATTGATCGGTCTCTATTGGCATGCGGGTTCGGTGGTGTAGTGGATAACGCTCTGGCGTTTGAAGCGATCGCTCCTGAGTGTGAATCCTGTTGGGAACAACATCAGTCACTGGGAGGCAGGTACATCCAGCTGGAGTCCCAAATAGGACGAGATGCGCATCCTGGATTCTACTGCTAGCTACTATCCGTCTTTACCATAACTAGAACTACACAGGTATATCGAGGCATCCGCACAGAATCTCATATGCCAGTAGAGACTGATCAATTTGGTCCAATCAACGACGGTATAATACAAGCAATAACATTAAGTTCTTTTGATTGTTACAGATTTCACTTGTATCCCCTCTGACCTGAAACAATGAAATCCTTGTGTTTAAATGAACATTGTCCATTGTCGATCACTTTCCTACTCGATACTGTGTTAGATAGCCTGATTAACGGTCTGATGGACTCCCTTATTTCTAATTCACCTATCTGGATACCTATTTTGGTGAAATACTGAGATCGTTTTTAAGAATCGAAAACAGTTGTTTCGCGATACAAATTTAAAACAAGTAACAAACGTAATTAAAACAAGATTTATTGAATTCATAAATTTCAGTAGCTCTTCAGCTTTTTACTCTGCATACATGGTTTTATATACTGTTATGCAATAAAGGAATACATACCCATATAGTACGGACTAAGGCATTGAATGAGGCATAACAACACAGGGTGAATCATTTGCTCATATCAAACAGAACTAAGGTTCGGTTGGAAGGGAGTGACAAATTACTGATGAGACATAAGACTGGAGATTGATTACATCGTTTCGAACAGAACAATTAGTAGTCCACTAGATAACTTGATGAAGGTGCACACTGAGGGAGCGTAGATGTTAGGTAAGCAAAAATATTGATTGTAATAGTGATAATACGAGTGAGTGAGTGATAATAATAATAATAATAATAATAATAATAATAATAATAATAATAATAATAGTGAAAATGTGGATATTGAGAGATTAAAAATTTCGTCATTTTGAACCAGCTAAATGAACATCAATTAAGAAGTTTGGTAACAGTGTAAAACTAAAGGAGACCGGAGTAATAGTTGAACGATAGCCATAATAATAACGATGAAGATAAGTCTTTTGGCTTCTAAGCGGAGAAGTTCAGAAGTAAGTGATAGTACAGCAGAATGATAGTGAAGAGGTAGATAAACTCAGTATACGGAGAGATAAAATAGAAAAAGAAAACACTAGTAAAAATAAACGAGTTCAAAACACTTCGGAACCTCTACCATGGTAGAGTCAGGGTGACTACTATCTCTTTCTGTTTACGAACCCTAATCACGCATGCTCTCACGATTGCAAGCATTTTCTTATTCCACTGTTTGATGAAAACTGAGGAAGCCTAAATGAGGTCAACGTCACGCGATTATTCATTAGGTGTTCCGTAATTGAACTCCGCTGAATTTTTGATTCGGCTTGCCCTTACTATTTAGGTAAATGCTCAACCACGGAAGTAAACAGACGTCTTTCCGTAGGATCTATGTATTTGCTTCCACAAGTATATTCGAAATGGTATATACATCAAGATATGTCGAAAATTGGAGTGGTGTCTTCCTGATTGCTGCATCATGCGCCTGGTGGTACTCAGAAGTACTAACTTAGCTGCATAATAAATCCTTTTCATGGTCTTGTCTAGCCTCTGCTTGACTACTTCTAAGACACCGTCTCCTTTAAAAGGTAGTTTAATAAATACTGACTTTTTTGGAGCCATGAGGACTACTGTTTTGCATTGTCTACTTTTCAAATACTTATTGACAAAGCCTTAAGGATAGCCATTTTTATCTAGGATATGGTTCAATGTTTTTATTTCATAATCAATGGTAATGTCAGAGCAAAATTCATTTGCTATATGAATTAGGGTTTCGATTAAGCTCCTTTCTTATTGGATCGGAACAAAACTCTTGAAGTGGAGATATTTTACAGGCCATGAAGGCCTTCTGTAGTTGGATCTTTCTATAGATCCATCATTGCTTTTTATTAAGGAAATGTCTAGGAAGTTGATATGATCAGTTTATTCGTATTCAACTGTAGAGTTAAGGTTTACCTGATAAGGGTTAAAGTTCTTTAGCAGGGTTTCTGCTTCCACTTTACTTTTACGTACAATAAAAATGTCATCCCTGTATTGCCGGTACAGTTCCGTCTGTTCTATCAATTTCTGAAGGTCACTAGCCTCCAGACTTGAAAGAAATAAGTCAGCGAAAAGTGGTCCTACAGAAATTTATAAATTCAATAAATACTGTTTTAATTACGCTTGTTACTTGTTTGAAATGTTGAATTACAGCTAGACGGAACTCATTGTTCAAAGTGAAACTAAGACTCGATTTTTTAATTTATCCATATATTTTATTCGAAAGATCATCTAACTGGTAAACTGGAGGATGTCCTGAGTTTACCAGCCATAGTTAAATTAAATAATTGAAATAATACTTCTCCAGCATTGGTGATGTTTTGTTGTAATAAAAGGTTTTAATACTCAGTTGCTGCTATCCATAATATACCGGTAAAGATGATGGACAGATCATCGGTGTAAATTAAAAATCCCCTCCTGTTCCCAGATCAGTAAACTGAGCTCTCGAATTGCTTGTATAGTCGTGTTTACATAGAATTTATGTATAGAATTTACGTAGAATTGATATAACCTGCCTGTGTTGCCATGCTTTTCCTGATCGCCGACTAACTACTTGATATATTTCAGTAGTAAGAAATTGGTATTAAAAATTGCTAAATGCTTTAATTGCCCAGTTCTACTTTGTTCCTAGTTTCTCATCATGTTATCTTCACATATATGTATACAGATGCATGAAAACCTACAAATTGCTCTGAGGACCTATTTTCTTACGTTACAACCAATCTGCAGTAAATTGATGGATGGTGATTCGGATATGGATAAGCAATTTGGACAAAAACTGATACCTCGTCAACAATGTGCCTAAATTAACTATTTTCCACTTGTGTCTAATCCCACCGACATTGTGGTTATTTGTATCATATCTCCTTTTTAATAAATACATATTTCTATCAGTTCACTGTGGGCTTATTATCAACTACTAATTCCCTTTTGTATAAACTCACATTAGAATGGAGAAATGTCAGTAACGTCAACCATAGATGGTTGGTAATTTCAACCATTTTTGTTACGTTGAAATTGATCTACAAAAAATGGGGTTACACGAAAAAGTGATGGGGAAAGAAGTCATTGGTTTATCTAGATATTATGCCACTCAAACTTGGAAAAGCATAATATGAATTATTGTATTTAAGTTTTGTGAATTCTTTAGTTGTCAGTCTCCTGTGACAAAGAGCAATGCTTTTTAATTTGTCATCTTACCAGCTGTATGTGCTCTAAATAAATCTGAGCTTGTTATAGATGTATCATAACGATTAACTCTATTCTGTCGTCATCTGTCTTGTTCAGTGGTGAAGGAACAGCTTCTTCTAAATCACTGTGATTTTCAAACATTCTCCCAGTATCATTTAACGACAGACATCAACTTTTTATCTCAAAGTGTTGTTTCAGATGACTGTAAGTATCTGTATGTCTTCATAATACCAATTGTGACAATCATTTCAAGGTATCTGAGTCTAAAGTGACATAATCTTCACACGGTCACCACTGCAATATTGAAGTGTCATTTTTGTATCATTGCTGATTGCACTATTCGAATTTATCTCTTACAGAGGCCAAATGAATCTAGAACTCGTTTACGATAAAATACGGAATTGTATTATAGATGAGGTTACACTGCGATGTCAGTTTACAAAATAAGTTGGTAGGCTAAAAAGAGCAATTGGATAATGAGGTGAACAGGCGTGGAATTCAACTTGGATTCGGGTTGGTAGCTGTTTCTAATTACGAGGTAACAATTTGCTCCGAAGTTGTAAAAGATGCTTTGTAGCGGTAATAATACCAGCTACCTTTAAGTTATAGATTTGGGGGAATATTGTCTATTTTCGATAAATGCCCAGTTGCAGGATAATCCACATTCGGATAGTTGTTTTTTCAGGACACCATATTACAAACGCTGTTGTTCCTTTTTTGTGAGAATGAAACATGATAAGACGTAGAACACCCTAGTGTTGCGTCACTTAGCTCAGCGTCTATATTTCAAACTAAATGAATAAACTTTGATCAGCATGGGGAACTTGACAACTTTATTGGTTACTGTCCTTCGATCTACTCATGTATGTAGTTAGTATAGAAAGCAGGTTCACAGCAATATAGAGATAGGTGACGTTTAGCATTTTTTAAAACCACATAGAGTCAGATAATGAGTTGAGTCTTTCCACTACCAGTTATTTTGGTAGCACTGTTCAACCGATTTAGCAGAATAGAGTAGTGGCCTAGCCGCACTCCAGTAATTACTTATCGGTAGAAACTCTAAACCTATAACGGCTGTCTATGTAGTTTGAGCACAACTATACCACTCACAGTTGACTAAGACACTCAAAGCAAAGGTACTTTTGTATTTTATTCATAAGAATAAACTATATGGAAGAAAATATTTCGTTAACACATATATAAAGTGAAGATTTTATTGTGCTTGTGAGGTTGTTGCATCCATCGAATGGTCGTATAGGAACAATTAAATAATGCCTTCTCAACTAAAATATCACTAGATATTCAAACAAATTTGAGTAGCAAAACCGTTTGCTTGACTTACTTTCTAGTGAAGGCAGAAATATTCTGACTTCTAGTTGAACTAGTGCCTGAGGACGGTTGTTTATATCCGTACTACATATGGAACTGCAAGTAAGGCACTGTGTAGCGCAACCAATAATTTCAAGGTTTTCACCTACGTTGAAGTTAGCTAGTTCGGCACTTAGGACTAGACAAGATAACGGTGATTACTTGTGATTGTTAGTGGGTCTGATACATGAGGTCAAGCTTAGTATGAATAGCTCTGGTAACGTTTCTGAATGCGGTACTGTGTGTCGCACGTTTGGATATATGAGGAGATATCAACTCTCTTCTTTATGAGCACCAACAAGCTCAAAACATGGATTCAGTACTTCCTACCAATTACAACCACGCAACACTAGTCATAAATGAATGAACCTCATCCTTTAAGTAAGCATGCGAAATAGGAGTAAACAATGTAAATGTATAAGTTACTCTGCTCACTTGCTAAAATAAACCAGATGAAAATGTCTTTAGGTGGACTTCCAACTTCATCTGTTTACAAGAATGGATACGGAAAGAGACAGTTCATGCGTGGAATTGCTTGTTTTGCTCTACAACTTATTCATCACAATCGAACGACGTTGAAACTAAAGTTAACTAATTTCACTTGTTCAATAAATGAAATATACCTTTTGTATCCTTGGATACTTAAGCAAATAATTATTTTCGTCATAGTCTATTTAGAATCAACCTTTAAGTACATTATTCTAACAAGGAGGGTTTAGATACATCGAATGGTTGCATAAATTCTATAAGTGATAGTTAAATTTACTGTCGTTTATTTAGAGGAAGTGAATTATAAAAGAGTTTATTTTATTGTTTAAGGACTTAATAGTTTAAAGGGTAAACGGATTAACACAGAATTATTAACTTCAATTAAAACAAGAAGTTAATCTGGATAGATTAAAAGTGTAATGGCAATGCGTGAATACTAGGTGACAATGCTAGAAATGCTGACACATTAAAGGAGATTGGAATGAAGATTTTGAAATAATTAACCCACACAATTATATGCATTTAATATCCAACTAAGTGAGGGGTTATGGTAGGATCAGGGGTACGCTAGCTTTTTTGAGCATGTGTAACACCCAGCTGTTGATATGTTTTCATCTAGCCTGTAAATAGGTACGTTGTTGCTGGGGGCACGTAGAGCAGTGTATGTTAAGTGATGACCACGAGAATCTGGAGGGGAAAAGAGGAAGAGAAAAAGGTGAGCTGACGACTCAGCAAGTACACATGTATCTCAGGTGTCATCACCTCAGCTGTGACGGGTTCATACTGCTTGTGATAGAAACTCAAGATTTTTATTTAACATCACTAACATGAACAGTATCATTTATGTATGTAGTACACTTCTGCACCTCTAAAATAGTGACATTGTGTTCAAGATGACTAATTCTACAGAAGCGGTTAAATATATGGATACAAATTAATGTGCAAATATCAGAAACCTAGTTTCTTATATTTGATTAAAAGGTGCATCTATTTGTCAACCTTATCCTCAGAGTGCATGCTGGTACGATTTTGTGCAATGATTCCTGAAGGCGGTTAGTGAAAATTTCAGTGAGATTATCTCCCTTAAGCTGAAGGCTTAAAATTATCTGCTTTTCTTCCCAGATGGAGGTGACTGGTTCCTTTATTCTGTTTACCATATCACAATCGACTGGTGATGATCAGCTAGCAATCCGATTAAGTATATGCATATGGTTGCGCATAGCGAGATGTTGACATCTGGCACCATAAATCTCCGGGCGGAAGTCTCTCACATCGACAAGTAGCCTCTAAAATTCCAAGGGATCTCTTGATCTCCTCGGTAGACGTGCAGGTGCTTTTTAAATTTGATACTAGAAACTGGAATATATAATTGTCTATTTTACTGGATGACAGAAAATCGAGACTCTGAAAGCTCCAGAACTTCTTCAATGAATAATTTCCAGTCTTTGATGATTAAGATTAGTAGGTTCGTTATATCTGTTTCTTTTTGTCTTTAACTGGAAACACTACACTTCAGTCTTGAACTACACATCTTATTGGTGATATTCAGTTGATTGATTAAGAAAGTTGGATAATAACTGGGAATGGTAACTCAGAGTTGGCTACTTTTATTTGATAGATTTCTATGCCATAATTATTGAACGAACAGAATTCTTTACTATAGGAGTCATTTTTTAAGGTATAATACAAAGCAGTGACTGTATATATGTATCATATTACAAATCGGCAAAGATATTCAATACTTAAATTAATATTTTTAGATCAGAATATGTCTCAGCTCTATGGGAATATAGCTAGTCGGGCCAGTTTGATAGATGCAGTTGTAGTGCGAAAATGAGATATGAACAATTATTTCTCCAGCATACTTATGGTATTGATATAAGCCATTTATATTATTCTCAAAGTCTACAGGGTTTAATTCAAAATTCATCGGAACCCGATTCTTCAATCAAACCTAGTCTTCGTCTGCATATTTGAACGAGAAGATTGTCAAAATCTTCTTAAAAACCTTATTATTAGATCAACGTGATATTATAAACTGCTACTTCATCGAGTGTGAGTGACATCCGTTCCCCTTAATGTTCTGTTCAAAATTTGTAATCTTACTATCAGAGATAATACTAACTAGTATTTTCATCACTCGTTTTCACGTATCCAGTGGTATATTCTGTAAAGTTTGGCCAAAATAGTTGTTGGTACTGTTTTAACTTTAAAACCTCAGTTGCTTAACAGGTAAAGGCTAAACAAGACGAAGTTAAGTAGTTTGGTATATATGGTTTACAAGCATGGGCTACAATTACTAAAAATAAATGGGTAAATAAATACAAATATGCCTTATGGTTTTGTGCAGAAGCTCTCGTTAGTCTGTTTAGGCGAGTGAAATCTAAGTGTTTCCTATCAGGTTGACTTTATTATTTTCTTTAAAAACTCCGCATAAAATTTTGTTAAGAATATTGTTATATTATATTTAGAAAGTCGATTTCTTTACCCCTAAAATATTTTTGTATAAATAATGATGGTAAACATTTTTTTAGACTGATCTCCCGCTGATAATATATTCTTGGAATGAAATGATTGCTAATTTTTATTGCTAAAATATGCAACTCGAAATGTAAGGTTTGTTTTCATTGCAATCTTAATTTGATCAAAAGGTGATGGACTTTAAACAACTGACTTTCATTAGCTTGTGAATTATCAGTACAGATCATCAACCTCATTCTGAATTGATGATACGGTCTCACATCTCATACGGTAATCGTATCACTGAGGCTTTAAAACTCCCTTGATCTCCTCAAGGGATTTGAGTGCACTCAGCCTGGGAGTGTTAGATAAAGATGGATTGACTTTTCAGTCTTATGCAAGTTCAAAGGATTTACCGGAGGATACCAGACTGCAATGTAGAAGTATTTCTTAGTTAATAATCCCCTACAACTTGATGAACTCATGGTGAGGTATAAAAAGTACTTTGAGAGCTTTAAATTTTCTTTTCATGATGGATGGTGGCTAGTAACAGAATCTGTGACATGCGTTTCGTCCTGTTTGGGACTCATCATCTGGATGTGCCTGAACCTCAGTGGGTGGTGTTGTTTCCACAGGTCGTTTGGAACGTCAGAGCGTTATCCACTGAGTTACGAAACCCACTGTTTGCACGATAAGTACGATAAAGTTTAGATATTAAAGCTCGTAACTCCTTACCATTGGTTAGAACGAACTGATCGGCCACTATTAGCTCCATTATTTGGTATAGTATTTAAGTGTATTTTATATCACTTAGCCATCTCCCAATAACTTGACCTCGTATTGGATGCTGTAAACGACAAATGAGATATTTCAGAGGTTACTGAAGTTAATCTTCGATAATTAACCTGCTGTTTAATATCTGAATCGAAAGAGACTAATGGAGATTAGGTAAAAATGGATACCAATTGACGAATGGCTATCTACCATTACCACTGACTTCAATGATTTGATGATAATATTTAAATTCATCAGGATTTCATATGGCTTATATAAGTCAATATTAGTTCATTTGTTGGTGCTCCTAAAGAAAAAACAAAACTTTCTTCTGTATTCATCATGAAAGAAGCGTGAAGTAAAAACTTTCGCGTTAAAGTGACTTTGAGACTTTATGCTTACTAGGTAAAATACACGAGATAGATTTGAATCGGTTGCTTGAAACGTTATATATTACACCTAGAAATGTATTGCATTGCTCACGATCCTGTGTATCATAGTCCTCGACGTACTGTTTCATTTTATGTTCTGCAAAGCAAATTGAATCTATCAGCTTTTGTGAAAAGTTTTACTTATAGTCCTCCTATGCTTATGATGTATTTTATATCAAAACATACCTTATTAAGTACTTTGTTCCAGTCTGCCACATTTTGATATTGTATAGCCGTGATATATATATATGGGGAGAATTGAGAAATCCTTACGTTTGTTGATCAGTTTAGCACCACCAGCTTGTACAGATGATTTCAGTTCCTGATGAAAGCTACTCTCAAATTAGTCTAACTAACACAAACTTTCCAATCAAATAATCTTTTACGCTTATAGTTTGATGTAGAACGGCTGTGACTCATTGGTTAAAGCTTACAAAATTCACCTGTCTCATAACATCAAAAGTGTTCCACTTACCATTTTGTAAGGGTTAGCACTAAAATAACAGTTGTGACTCACTAGCCAATGAGAGAACACTTATGTGGTTATTGAGATGCATTAATTTTACTCACCTAGATTGATGAAATTATACTCTTATTCTCAGTAAATATTCATTGAATAGGCTTTTGTGGAAGCATGTGTTGGCTTTTCAAGAGTAGTTGAAACCTTTCATCGTGAAACAGATAGTCCCATGTTCAGTTGTTTTTGTCATGGACAGAAGTGAATATGGAAGCAAAATGTTATTCATTATCAAAGATGAGAAAGAGTTTATAAAGGACTGTCGCAAGAGAACTTCAAAAAGGAAGGTATCAAGCAATCTAGTGAAACTTCTCCCTGTGAATGCTAGTAGTATGGAAAACCTACTGAATCCAGATTCTGTCACTTTTTTGGCTTTCCATAAAGCGGCATGCCGAAAAATCCTTTGCATTTATGAATGCCAATGTGCAAATCTCCAACTCAAAAGCTTGCTCAGCGATTGGTAGAGTTATTAGATCCCATTAAGAAACAGTTTTCATGCTTGTTTTGAAAGGTACTTCCGAACTATGTTTTCCATCGACAAAGATTCTGCATTTAATGATGTCTTTTTGATGCGCACAGTTGACATTTCATGCAAATATTTCTTTACCAATATTATTCTACTCCCATTTTCGCTTCATTACCTTAAGGAGTTTATGGATGTCTGCCTTTAGTAGACTTTCTCATAACTCTCCTGCAGGACTATCCATCTCTACGAAATCTACATGGACAGGACAGTATCTAAATTACCATAGTTTTTGTTCATTTCAACATAAAAAGAAAGTAGTCAAGTGTCTGTTCAACTGTATTCAAAGAATATACACAAATGATACTTTGGAGAGGGAAAAATGAAAGCTAATCGAATCATTATTAGGTAACGATTATCCTCTTAAATTTAATAATCATAATAGAAATGCTTCACAAAAGAGATGTATTGTTCAGTCAACTCCACAGAAAAATGTCTGTCACACTATCATAAATGGACAACTCATGGAGTCTGACAAACAAGCAGACTTAAGGCAGCCATCCGAAAAAAAATACTATGCAGCAAAGGTCAGCATTGTAGAGAAAACGAAACTTATGTACCTTTGTAAACCCTCGCAGTATATGAATGATGGGGTCACGTCCAACAGCGTCTACCAGTTTTTGTTTAAGTGTGGTCACGTATGAATAGGGAGACCTGTTGATATATGCAAGTAAGAGCCACAAGGCACATTTTAAAAGTCTCTGTGATTACGAATCAAATCGATTGATTCCACTGATCTAGGTGACATATGGCCAACTTCATCTATAGTTAACATGTCACTGAAATGAGTCACAAGGTGTTTAAAAACAGTTTGTAGTTATATCAAACCTGCCTTAGTAACTCAGTTTTAATTTCAAGGTTGGTTGATGTAATATACTCTCTTTTCATCGATCCTTTGACTTTTACTCTAAACACTTAACCCTTTATTATATCAATTTTTTTCCGACCCATTTTTCCTCTGTAATAATTCATACAAATATGCTTGACGAGTAAGTGTATGATCAGATTGTTCTCAACGTATTGCACTAATACATCAAGCATTTCAGATAAACTGTATCTTTATTGTTAAAACTTTTATTTTGCTAATTTCCTGCCTATCGGTCAGCTTCAAATATTTCTAGTGACCAATGTAAATCAAGCTAGGATTAGATCTTTTACTCATATTTCATATCCATGCTTACTACTCAACATTCGACTGGGTAAAATCCAATCAAAAATACCGTCTCTATTAGCCAATTATATTCCCTTTGTTGACTAAAGAAAGTTTAATAATGATTAAAAGCAGTCAGATTTAAATTTTTCCTCATAGTCGATAGTGTCTAAAATACTCAAGAGAAATAGTATTAAAAGTTTTACCTTTCTAACACAAGGCTGGAATACATTAAACGTAAGTTATGCTAATTAGTCACTGAGTAAAAATGTCTCAAGTTTATATTATTCTGAGAAAGAGGTAATAATGTGTAGATTTGTTCGTTTGCAAAACAACTTTCATCTTCTATGTAATATATGAATTGCAACTATAATTTCACCTCATTCCAGTCAAGTATGTAGAAGTTCAGTTAGCTACGTATTATTATTGCTACTAATATTTAGCGCTCTGTTTGAGAATATTTCTACTATCCATAAAACCTTGATCATCTATCTAATACCTCTAAGAACTTATCTGAATTTACTTCATGACTGAAAATGTGATTTGACTTCTGAGAGTGACTGTTGAATGGTAAACATTTCCTTGTCATTTCAGATATCATAATCAATTAAAATGTATTTTACAAATGTATCGTTATTTAAATTTTGATCAGCTGACAGCATATTAAGGTTATTGTAGTAGTAAATGTTTTAGAAGTGGTGAAATATTTTAGTATAGAACTTATGCTATGCCATGAATCTTCTAAATGTTATCTACCTTGTATAATCACACTTCTTGCCATCATTAAATTTCCCAGAATTTTTCTGTTATTCAAAATTTGACCTTTTGTAAGAAATGTTAAAGAGTTACACAATTAGACCAAAAGTACCTACTACACTTTAGTTTCCTGCAAATACTTGTGTGGTATCTTTTGAAGGAAATCTTTATCAAAATAATCCTAATCTTACTGACATAACAGTTCTAGTGAGAAAGTATTTATCTAATTTAATCATATTCATACAAGCGCATTTTCAATGCCTTTAGTATTCAGTCACTTTCACTAAGCGAGTTAAATGGTGAGAACAGTAAGCCTACTACCGGTGAACACTAAAAAACCTTAGAAATCTTATTTTAAAAGGATTTTTGTCGGTTTATTTCTCTTATTTGCTGAAAATTATTCTTTTTCGATGCAGCTTATTTTGAGACCTCAGTATATGTCGAAGTTGTTTTATATTCTCATAGTGTGATATACACTATAGAGACTTTCATGAAGATGACAGGCGACCAGCCGAATTGAATATGTAGGCTTCTAGACCTACTCCTTCCAGTTTTCAGACCTATGATTCATAATACATTTCGCTATATATGTCATAGTTAGTTACTGGAATCAGAAGAAATTAAAACCTGTAGAAGTTTTGATCAGGCAATGAAAGGTTATTGTGGATCATTCCTGCCTGATGCTTGTATATATATTTCACATTTATTGTTATTCTTTTTATCCTGTCATACTTGTCTTTAGGTTAGACGAAAGCATAATTTCTTATATTTTTCAGATAACTAGAGTCTTCAGAATAGCTTCAATCAATAGAATTTTTAATTTATACCATTGCATATTCAAGTCAGACATTCACTGGTTACTTGTCTAGTAATTTATTCAGTGGAGTATGAATATTATTTTGTCACTGTTGATATCAAAATAAAAGTCAATAATATTATATTAGCTCTAATCGCAATACTCAGAATTTGCATCTCTCAACCCATCAAAGTTATCATCTCAAAGCGCCTAGTTAACACACAATCAACTTCTCTCTCTGCAGTCACTATGATTCGATAGTAACTCAGATAAGGTAAACAACTAGAGACAGCTGCGTGTCTTTCACTCATAGGACAATGCATCACATTATTGTTTTATCAAACTGAAAATAAAGGCTTGATTATTCAAAAGGTCTTACAGCTGATTCTATGGCATGATAATAGATCAGTAACATCGAGATTAGTGGTTTAAATTCACCACTGATGCTGAATTTCACTCAAAACTACTTATTATATGTAGATAAATTAATTAGTTTGTCAGACAAAGCTACCTTAAAACGTCTCATCAACAATCACTTATGAGTCCCCCTGTCTTCGTGAAGTTCGATCAAAATAAGATCTGATCTGGTTTTAGTTGGATGACGATGTTGCAGTTATATATTGCCCATCCCCACCATAGGTGGGCTAGACTATTGGTGATTACAGTAAAACTGACAGTAATTAGTCTAGTTTTGAAGTTGGATGGGTTGGCCATAATCTTGCCAAATTATGTCATCATTCTCGTTCATAAGGATCAATTCACCTGGTGTCATTCCGCGAAAATGTCAACCGGAAATAAATAAATAAATCCATACAAACCTTTGAATTTAATTAGTCTAGTGCTCAATACTAACTTACTTCGAGATGAGATTCCTGAAGTCTTAAAAACAAGTTATGACCAGCTGAGTCAACCAAGTTGAACTTGAACGATGGTATTGGATAGAGGTCGCGCTATATTGTGAACGTTCGAACGTAGGAAATACGGACTACTGGATTTTGACCCAGTGGCTCAGTGGTAACGTGCTGGCCACGGGACCTGAAGGTTCTGAATTGGATCACTGGTGGGGTCGTGTATGTGCACTGCTGAGGAGTCCAGTACAAAGACGAAACAGCTGTGTTGTGCTCCCAAGTTCCAAGTGTTTCTCCAACTGATATCAGTCCATGATGAATACCAATCTGAGACCGATCAAAAGCTGTATCAACTGGTCTGACATGCGATAAAATTCCTTTTCTTGGAAAATTAATACCTTCCGACCTAAAATATTTTTAAAAGTAACAATTTAAAATTATTTCATGTGGTAGAGGAGAAACAGATGTGTTTAAAAATATGAACCAAATGTGAAAAAATTCTGCTCATAAAAAAAACATAAAAAGGAATATCTTTATTTGAATTTCTAGTCGAGTATATGTGATGAAATAGAAAGAAAATCAAGAATCATTTATTATTCTAATCTGAGACATCAAAGTTTCCCTTTTTCCTGTTTTACCTTTATATTTATATATCAAAGGTTTTAGTTACTTCGATTGATTTGCATTCTGCCTCTGGTTGAGACTCATCAAGTGAATCCATCTATATCCTAATTTACAACTAGGTGGATTTCATGCAAGCACACACAGAGTTATCCATTACTGGCTAACAGTAATCGTTTTTTGTTCAACGGTTATGAGCTATCATTAACAGTTTAAAGCTCACCATTTAAGACATGTGAAAAACAGTTTAAACTGCTTGTGTAGGGAAGCTAATGGATAGATAAATAGTTAAAACAATCATGATTTGTCATATGTTCATTGGGGAATAAAATTATTGAAATAATGAGTAAACCGATGTAGTTTTCTAAAACTTCATTTTCAACTACATGCTCCGAAAATCTTTACTATAACCGTTACCTAAGTAATTGTGGACTTGAAGTACAACTAGCACTATCTGATTCAGAAGTGAACGACAAACAATAGTACACAACCCATTCAGAATGTTGATTTGAATTTCTTGGACCATTCAACAAATCAGTACAGGATAAAAAGGGAGGAAACTGAATTGAGTAGAAATGTATTTGTACTTATGTTTTTTGTAGAATGACTTTTTTTTGGCTGAAACATTTAGAGATTAGGTTTCTGATGTCAAGTTAGAAATTTTGTGCACGTTTTAAAAATTTTAAAATAATATGACTGAAAAATATTGAAACTTTGGTTATCCCAGGCCAAGCCTATCGGTAATAATGACATACCTCAACAACAGATAAGTATTGAAAAGATGGGAATAGATTTACAAGAGAGAATTTCATTCACTCCGGACGTTTGTGGGGATTTATTTATTGATATCAGGTTAGTATTAAACTGATGTCAGTCCATGATGAATATCAATATGAAATCAATAAATAAATCCCTACATACTTCCAAATTGATTTACACAAGTGACTATTGCTGACTTGCTTCGAAGGGAGATTCTCAAAATGTTAATAAAAAGTCATGACTAACTAGGCCAACCAAGCTGGACACGAAGCCAGTTACTTAACGACGGCATTAGATGGAGGTCACTGTATGTCGTGAATTGACAGAAGTAGGAAATACAGACTATTTGACTCCGACCAAATGAGTAAGTGGTAATGTACTGGTTGTGGAACCTGAATGTTCCGGGTTACATCACTGTGGATACTCACTGCTTAGGAGTCCGAGACTAGGATGAAAGAGCTGTTCGGTGCCCCCAAGTTTTCAACGGTTCTCCAACTGAGGAATTTTATTCATTTAGTTTTGTTAGGCTTCAACAGAAAAATACTAGTCTCAAACTACTGGTTATACTTTCATCATGTCTATACAATGCGAACATGGGCAGAATACATGAAAGCAGTAGTTACGAGTATTCCAACCATTTAATTTTTTTTCATTAACCAATTAAGCATGAGCTTTTTGTTTTTATGAGGAAATTTGTTCCTGTAATTCAAGTAATATTCCCTCTTCCCGGGAGATTTCTTTCGAAAATGAATCTTTTCTATCTCCAGGATATTTAGATGTCTTATTGAAAGCACAAATCTTCTACATTTACGCTCCAGAAAGACTGATCATAGTAGAAACTCACCCAGCAGTGTATAGGTTCAAGTTACTAAAAATTCATAGTAGCATATGAAAAAAGGTGAATAAACAACGACTGACATAAAAGGAGGCAAGGACAAATTTTGGAATGCAATAACTTTTAAAGAAGATGACGCATCAATCCCCCTACATTACAAAGAGGTACGATGACACTAGTAAGCTTGCCGGGGAACAAGCTGGTCACCTCCATGTAAGCCATTTAGTTGCATGATAGTTCAGTTTTCACCGGTAACTTACCTTCAAGCTGGCCTTTTGATGTTATAGTAAGGAATACTAATTTCAAGAGTTAATCGAATCCAGAGTGAATGCGATTATTCATCGGTGACATCATATAGTGCCTGCACTCATTTTTTTATCAATTAAATTTCAAAAATATAATGTACTAGATTTGTATCCAGTTAAGATCCTTAGCTTCATCTCATTTGAAGTTGTTTTTGCTTAGTTATAAGTTACCCAAGTTTAACGAAAAACTACAGTTCAGTTTTCTCTGAATAATAAAGTTAGGAATACAACTTCAACAAACTGGTGAAAGAGTAAAATCATCTGAAAAACGACCATTTGAGTTGTCACTAAGTAGATTTTTCTCTGATATCCTACTA